AGACACAAAAAAAAAAAAAAAAGGCTGGATGATCATTCCTCATGATTTGAGACCTGAATCTGTATGCGTAGAGTATTTTCTTTTCTTGTTGGACAAAGTAACCAGTGCATCCTTTATTTTTTATGCAGCTCAGGTTTGGAAACACACAACAAGGCATGTTGTTGTTGCAAAGATTTATGTTGTAAAGTATTGAATTTGCTGGCTAACATTTAATAGGTGTCTTTGTTTTTTTGTTTGGTTGGTTGGTTTGGTTTGTTTTTTGTTTTTTGGTTTTTTTTGGGGGAGGGGTTGTTTTTTACACCTTCAGTGTTGCAATGCCAAGCTCACAAAAAAGTTCATGCAAGCCATTGGTCTTTTTTTCCAAATGTCAGCTTTTTGTAAGTTTTCTAACTAGTTCTGCTATTGTCAGATTCCAGGTGTTAGAGAATTACTCATTTATCTTTTTGTAGGAATTGAATTCAGCTTGAATATCCTGCTGTGTGACTGCTATGGAGAAGTAACTTAGGTTACAAAACCAGGTTGTTTCATTTTCTTCTATAGCTGAAGCAACATTCTCTAGCTTTTCTAGCTAGTATACTCTGTGAAATGTATTCTTATACACAATAAGGAGAGCTGTAGGGTGTCGTGTTTCTTCTTTTGTGGATTTTGCAATTAGGCTGAATGACTTTGTTGTTATACCACATTATGTTGCAAATGTTGCATCTTGTTTTAAAAGATGGATATTGTAACTTGATTTCAACTATATAACCTGAATTAAACATATAATTCCCTTTGGCCTTTGTTCTGCCACCCACAGTTATACTGAGTAATAAGTACTTTTATACTCCAAATAATTCTTTTGATTTTAAACAAATATATGTCCTGCTGAGTGGTTATAATAGTCTAGCAGAAAAAAATTAGGGATGTAATTATCCATACACGCAGAGAAAGGTAAAAAGTCTCATTTTAACAAAGAATGAGAAAGCTGGTTGGCTTTTCAGGGGTTTCAGAATTGCCTGAACTTAGTTGTCATGTCATGTAATGATATTCTCTGTTGGCTAAAGAAATAGAATTCGTACATGTCAGAGTCATGGAGATTGCTTGCTCTTCATCATGGTAATCCGTGAGTAGATGAGCTAAGCAGTTAACTTCAGATGGCTCTTGGCCTAATTATTTTTTGAATACTCATAACATTAGGTCACATCAGCTGGATGTATTCAGGTCTGTTTAAAACGTACTTGAGAAGATAGATAGCTGTATCTACATGTACGTAGGTAGATAATTAGATGGATATATACATCTCAGACACAATGAGCATCAATTATTAGAACATGTATTCTGGTTCTCTGATTCTTCGTTCCAACTGAACACCGTAAAGTTTCTCTTGGAGGATAAGAGGTAGGTCAATCCTCAATCTTATTTACCTAAATTTGTTACAATGAGCACCAGCCCTAAAAACACAAGGTTACCTTTCAGAGATATTCTCTTACTCTTTCCGCCTCGGTAAGTGCATAACAAAGCCAGGGCAGGCTTCTTCAGCACTTGTCAAAACGGAGTAATTCCAGTGAATACAGATGTTGGTAGTGTTAGCTGAGGTTCTAATAACATGACCCATATGTGGGCAGAAGCCTTCTTGGGAATTCACATTTTAAAACAAAGAAGTGCAATACATTTTCCTTTTCTTAAGTTGGATACCACTAGCCTTCTTACTGAAGAATTTAATGCATTGATCTCATTTCTCTAAAGAACGATCTTTAAGCCAGGTAGTCCTAAAGATAAGCTAGAACAGATCGCAGGGAAAGAGGGACATTGAGTCTCCTATACTCTAACTATTTGAACTACAGGCCAGGTTAGCATTAAGAAATTGTATGAGTGTAACCTGGGTGGACAGTAGTTTTGGTTCAGTCTTGGGAAGATAAAAAATACATTTTTTTCATTTGTAATTTATTTTTTTTTAAGTATATGTATATATACACTCTCATCCATAGTCACTGCCATCTGTTTGGCCTCTATTCAAATTATGAATGGAAGTTCATAATTCCTTGAGGCATGCTCTCACCAATAACAAAAAATGAGTATACTACCATAAGAATGTCCCTCTCTAACTTGCATTGTTTTGTAAGGCTGGGTTAAAGTCTAGCAGGATTGTCACTTCCCTCACATCTGCTGTTCCCTTATTTTCTGTGGTTGATGGAAATTTCTTCTGGCATGTCTCATAGCTCTTCCCTGGAAAGAAGGTATTGCTGTCACAGAAATAATAACTGTCAAAAACCAGTATGTATTGAGTAAATCTGTAGACCTCTGAAAAATCTGCCTTTGGGCTATATAATGCACCAGTAACAAAAAGTAAAAGGCAGTGATGTGAGCCAATAAACATCAACAACAACAAAAAAAGTCAAAAGAAGTCTCAGAAGTGCTGCTGTGAATTGAATGGTAGTGTCACGAGTTGCTGGGTTTGGGTACTAGATCTTTCCATCCTTTTTTCTTACAGAGAGTTTGTGGGCAGGGTTTGCAAGATAAAAATACGTTCTTAGGAAAGACATTAGTGAGTTTTTCATATTTTTCTTTTACAATCAGGAGAAAATAAATCAGTTCAGTTGAGCAGGATGACGATATGTCAGACAGTTTTTCTCACCCACTTCTGCATTCCCACAGTTGTGCTTCTTTGTGTCAGAACTATTTTCGTCTTGGGTGCCAAATGTGATGACATTATGAGGGTTTTGTATTCACGTCTTTGTTAGAGCCTAGTTAATACTAAGATGGTAATATTAATAAGTAAATGTGAAATAGAGTTTTCAGACGTTTCCTGTGGGAGTGAAATTCTACAGTCTGATGTTTTGAGTGCCAGACGTATTTTACACTTAGGAAAATCTGCATGCCATATAGTTCAAAAATACTTCAGATGTAGCATAGTTTTATTATTGTCTTTCAGTGTCTTTACATTTACTTAACTCATCACAAAGTGGAAATTTAAGAAACAAAGTTCAAGGAGGCAATGCAGTTATTTTTAGCCATTTTTACCCTGTTTAGTTAGGTTTCTGAAGAACAGAAATAACGGAAACTAATTGCATAGCTTACGATTCTGAAAGGAATATTTACCTGTATTAACCCTAGTAAAATCATTCTTATATACATTGGCTGAATGTAACATCCAAACTGCATACTGGAGTTTTGCATTCACTTATATCATCAAACTAATGGAATTTGTCTTGGGCTGGGTATTTAGCTTTTACAATACATTGTAAATTTCCTGAAATATTTTGTTAAAATACTAGTGCTGAACAAGAAAGAGGAAAAGAGGTAGCCATGGATAAGTAACCACAGAAAAAAAGTTAGAAATTGGATTTGGGATTTCAGTTGTTCTTTCATCTTGATTCCTTCCACAATTTTTACAGATTTATGTAGCTTTTATACTAGGCCTTAAGGAAATGGTAAACTTTCTAGTGTTTATTTCCCCCAAAGGTATGGTCAGTTCTGTCTTTCCTAAAGAATGAGATCATCCTAAGGATTTATGTTTGGTTTACACATTGTTAAAGTCTTCCACATCTGTAACTGTATAGGCTTGAACCTACAGAGTTGCTTCTGCATAGGCAGAAGTTACAACTGTTAACAGAGGTAGACTGATGGATACAATCTGAGAATTTAGTCCCTAAGTGATCTGTGTTCAAGGAACAAAGGTTGTTCTGTTGCTGTTTCTTTTATTAACAATTTCTCTACCCAATGTAGAAGTGAGCAGACACAAAGGATGATAGTGGAAGCTTTGTTTTTACTTCCATAATAGGATTTCTAGGATAATAGATTCATACTACAGCTTATTTTAGTGGTTTTAAAAATACTTGCAAAGCTGCATTTGCTGCATATGAGTACAATACGTATTTGAGTGTATTTTGAGGGAGTTTTGTTGCTTGTGAGAGGCCACAGTTGATGGAGTTGAGGTATGTGCTTTTATTACTTAAAGCAGAGGTAGTTTTAACTTTCAACCTTTTCTCTTCTGGATTAAAGTTCAGATGAAGAGGCAAATATTAAAAAATCTCTGTTCATGTCCTATGTTTTATTGCCATGCATAGGAGACATTGAGAAAAATCAGTCATGAGTTTAAAGCTAAACAAGGAAATAACAGTTGGTAGGGGTAGAAATCCTGCTGACAGTTTCAAGTAGAGGAAATTTGTGTGTTATGCTGTCAGTTTCAGACTGAAATTGGAAGCTGACCATTTAATAGATTACTGCAAACACAGAAACACTACAAACACTACTGTGTTTGATTTCCCATACCTGTGAAGCTTATCAGAATATATATATATATATATATATATATATATATTTTTTTTTTTTTAACAAGGTATTACAAAGTATACAGGCAAATCCAGTGTGGCGATACCTGCTACTGGATCATCCTGAATTGCAACAGTTTTTCATTTATTTGTACGTTCAGTGGTGGTTGAAATAGATGATGATAATGAAAAAAAAGGAATATTCTACTTACGGATTTTAATTAATCTATTTGAAGATTGAAGGTAAAAACCATTTGAGCAACTCAAAGAAAAATAAAACTTCAAAAAGAAATACTAACCTATTATACTATAGCCTCTGTCCCATCTAAGACCTTACTCTGTTCATGATACAAAGTGTAGCAAGTGCTAGTAAAAACTATTCCATTTGGTGTGGTTTAGATTGAACTAAAAATAGTTGATTTTTAGAATTCCACAGAAGTATTTTTAGTCTTATTCTTTTCGTGGTGGTTTGTCACGTGGAGAAGAGCAACTAAAACATTAATGGTTTGACTATGATACTGCAAATTCCTGCTTAGCTCAGGGTAGATTTCCCTGTTTGTCATGAATATGAAAGTTGAACTATGTTTAACTGGAAGTAGTAGTAGCAGTAGTAATTTACCTACATGCAAAAGATACAAATTCACTTTTCAGTGTATTTATTTTCAGTTTTTCATTTAGTCATTTTACACTTTACTGTAACTCAAATTCCTGTGTATTTCAATTAATACTCTCTGTTTTTCCACATTTCAGGGATACAACCGTACAAAGTCTTACCCTGCAGCCTTCAGTTAAAGATGGTCTTATTATATATGAAGATTCACCACTGGTCAGTAGTAACATTTGAATTGCATATTTGGAAATGTATAGACAAGTATTTAAACATGCTCGCTTTTCAAATAAGAAAATTCTCAGTGATTTGATGGGAATAGCCAGTAAATGTGGTAACATTTTATTAACTTTTCATTTGGTTATGTTTGCCATGTGACAAATGCCAAAGAGGACAAGGGTCTCTGAGGTCTGCACATACACAAAATGAATGTGAAAAGTGATTTAGTTAGTGTCAACCCGACACATTCTAACTGGTACAGTGGCATTTCCCTTCTTCTTTTGGAGTATGTAAAAATGCCTCACGCCAGCCTGCAAAGTTGGACTCCAGACAGCTCTTGCAGTTGTTCTTCAGTTCTTTCAGCTTTATGTTGCCAGCCTAGATGTAAACTGCTACGGACTTCTTGTTCAGCACTTCTACTCTCAGTCAGGCTCCTTGGTAGCCTCCCTAGTGTGGTCCTTTCTGTCCATCTCCTGAAGAAACACCTACCTTTCTTGTCTCACATGCTTCCTCTTCTGTCTCTGCTGCCGTTCGGTCATATCTTAGCCCTGTTCTGCCTCCCCTTCTCTCACTGCCACTGGCATCTTGCAACTACTGTCAGATATACCAGTAATGCACTTTCTCACAGCTATTTTCGGAGGGTTGTGCTTATTTGATTCTTTATCTTCCAGGTAAAAGCAGTGAAGTTTGGACATATTTTGGTAATTGATGAGGCAGACAAGGCACCGACGAATGTTACCTGTATCTTAAAAACCTTAGTAGAAAGTGGAGAAATGGTTTTGTCAGATGGAAGGCGAATTGTTGCCAGTAAGTAGATAGAAAACAATTTCATCACTTACAGTAAAAGGTAACGTGTTGCTGTTTTTCAGCAATTACATTGCTAAGTAAAGCCTCAGAGGAGTCCAAATGGAAAAAGTACTTGATGATAAAAAGGTTAGCAATTAAAGAAATTATGGTGATTTTCTTTTTTCTCTAAAGAACAGTTTAAAATAAGAGGTGTCTTTTCTTTTCTTTTCTTTTCTTTTCTTTTTTTTTTTTTTTCTTTTCCTAACTAAAACTGTTTTTGCAGTAACCACAAAGGTTTTATTAAATTGGCATTTTCATGAATGGAATTCTCAGGAATTAAAACAAAAAAAAAGTCCCAACAGTTATAAACTGACCTCCCTACTTCCTATTCACCGTAAGAAATACAGATCTGTTTGACAAAATTATGATCTTGATTATGCCCATCTGGATAGTAGGGGTATAACTTGACCAGATCTGGTAGTAAAATAAGAGTATGCCTAAGGTTGAATGTTTAAAGGTTTCATCTAGTAAAATACTCTATGTACTTTTACTATTTAAAGACATCCTGCAAGTCAGGATACTTCATAATTTGGTGGGGTTTAATTCACAAGAACTGCAAGAACTAAATTTCTTCTTACATTTTTTTTCAGAGAAAGGCCCTGTTTAAAATGTCATCTTGAACTTAGTAGACACTGTAGTTTTGGTAATATGTATAGTTTAAATATGAGTGGAGCAATCCCTTCAGCACTCATGTGGCATGACATCGGTTTTGCTTGTGATTGTAAACTGTAGGTGGGCCTATTTTTTAAATAACTGGATAGTCAGTTTCAGTTATTATTGTAGTTTTGCAGAGGAGATAAAAGGATTCCCAAAGCTCATGTACTAATGGAGACATGGTGGCAGGGAAGAAGAGAAGGCAGTCTGACTCATTCTGGTGAAACAAGAGTCTTCAGGCACATGACATCATGTGCCTTTGGCTTCTCACAGATTTATATAATATTCAGGAGGACTTTTGGTCCTGTGTTCCCAGATGGGATAATGTTATACATACATAAAACATATTTTATTCACCCTTTGTCTCGGCATTTTGGTCAAATGAGATATAAGCAGCTTAGGTGTCTCCCACCCCAAAACTAGTCAATAATAGCTGATGCTTTTTTTTTCTAAGTGAAATAATTTAGTTAAATTTTCATGAAACAAATTATGAAATTTTAGAATGAAACTCAGAACACTCATAGTTTAATGACTTGCTAAGAAGCTGTTGAGCATTTTTAGTAACTATTCTTGTAATTCAAAGAATAATTCTTCTAACTAACTTCTTCTAATTCACTGATAATCACTAAGATTAAATGTACAACTAATGCATTTTATCTCTTTTCTAGATCGTGCTCATGTAGAGGGGAGAGAAAACGTAATAGTAATTCATCCTGATTTTAGAATGATAGTTCTAGCAAATAGACCTGGATTTCCTTTCTTGGGTAATGACTTCTTTGGCACATTAGGTAAGTGATTCATATTAAACGCTGATTGTTAATTACAATTGATTAATAGAATGACTATCTTTATTTCATTAGATTTCATGGGGACAGAGATTCCTTATGCATATTAATGTTTTGTTTTACATAAGATGCTTAGGGTGAGATTATGGAACTTGCCCTGAAGTGAACAACTATACGTGGTCATCTGTGTACAACTAAAATTGTTATATGGGATCAGGACAAACACAGAAAACAAAGATGAAAAAAAAAAAGTTAATTAGCATGTATCGTGTACAAATATATCAACAATATGATCTGTAAGCAGTTGATAGCTGATATCGGTGGTTAACATGATTGCTCAGTGTTTTCTTTCCCATATCAAGAAAGCCACTGGCCAAGTTCTATCCTCTTCGGTACAAGACAGGGGAGCCTGATGGATAGTATTTTTCTCTCACTCTAAAGATGGAAGCTATTGTCTTTTATAGTGTTAGTACTATTGCTCCCTGCTTCTTAATCTTCATTGGCTTCTCCATACTCATAGCTTTGTATGATAGGCCTTAATAAATATTTGACAAGATGCTGAAATTTCCAGAGTTTTAGGTAATCCTGTCCAAATTTCATGTCAAAGTTTTTCATACCAGCAGCAGTCTTACTTTAAAAAAAAATAAACAAATAAAAAAAAACTCCAGGTAGTTACTGAAAATCCTATGTATCAGCAAAGATTCCCCACAGCTTCATCTCACAGCAAAAGAAAGAAAGAATTCATGTTTCCTAGGGGTGAACAATGAACAATTCATTGTTTTGTAGTAAGGTGTAGTCCAGTGTTAGTCTAAGTAGGCCTCTGGCAAAGCTTTGGCAGTGTGAATTGCCCTGTGGACTCCACTGCCTAGAATCATTGTCAAAATTATGTGCAGGCACCTTAATCTGCGTGTCTTTATCTGTTAGCTCTGGCTGCAAGAAATAATAATGTACTCAAAAAAAAAAAAAAAAAAAAGACATGAGCAAGCTTAGTTCTGTGTGATAGTTGTTTGTTTTTCAGATGCAGTTCCTAGTGAATGGGCATTCCATAGCAGAAATCCATTGGCTCTCAATTTCACCAAATTATATTGACCCAAGATGCTTTTATTAGAGCCTATTTCTTTTCCATGACCTAATCTCCCTCCATATATTGACTCTTTAAACCCTGTTTTGTGTGATTGTTAAATGACTCTTTACAAATACCCTCAATTTTATAGATTATATGATTGGGACCAATGTAATGCAAATGTATGTGGAAGACAGCTTGCCATATTTCTTACAGTACTTCAAGGTAGGCAGAGAGGAAAAGACAAATCCAGTATTTCCTCTAGACCTCACAACATTATGGTATTCCTGAATGTAAAGATTTCCCTGCATGCTGTGGTGTTTTGAGGGTGTTCACAAACTGGTCCCATTCAACCTGTATTACTCTTTCTTTAGACGTTTCTTTCCTTTTTTTTTTTTTTTTTTATTCTGTTCTGCTTTCAATTTGCATTTCTTCTAAAAGTTAATTTCTCCCTTGTGATCACCTTCATTAAATAGTAGGAGAGATCTCTATGTTTCTTGGAATCTCAGTGTTCTTTATAGCAAGTTCATCCTTCATGTTTTTCAAAGTGTTTTTTGTCTTATTTTATTCTATTTTAACAAGCAGGTATTCAGCATCCTCTTGATATGTTGCCTTTCCATTTATGGTTCTTTATGAATTTTATAGGAGCTGTTTTGATTCTGTCCTTTATAAACTATTTAAAAGTATGCTTTTTTTCTTTTAGGGGACATTTTTAGTTGCCATGCTGTTGATAATCCTAAGCCGCAGTCTGAACTTGCTATGCTCAGACAATATGGTCCTGATGTTCCTGAGCCAATTCTTCAGAAACTGGTAGCTGCTTTTGGAGAACTGAGGAGTTTAGCTGACCAAGGAATTATTAATTATCCCTATTCAACTAGAGAAGTTGTGAATATTGTAAAGCATTTACAGGTACAGTACATCAGATCTTACTGACTTTTAGGAATTTAATACTTGTAGGCTTTAGAAAAATATGCCATTACTGTTCATTAATTTCTATTTAATTTTTAAGAAAAGTTTTGCATTTTGAAGTAATAATCGCATTCTCAGGTGTTCAGGGTAAATGTATACAAGCAAATACTTTTTCTGTGTGATTATTTGTAGATATACAAAATATCTGTGTTTCTGTTATTCAGCAATGTTTGATGTGAGGAAAATGTTCAAGTAAATACAGTATGCAACTTCATAATAGCCTACATTATAAAATTACCTATTCGGCATAGTATACTTCAAGAAAAATGCAGCTGTTGACTTGCTATGCTGCTATGGAATTTTTGGTTTTAATAATTTCCCAGGGCAAAACAATACCCTGTTGCACAACAGGAATATAACACAAATGGAATTTGTCTAAAGAAAATGTTGCCTGGATAATGACTTAGCAAACAGGTACATAGGAACCATGATTGCTTCCTACACACACTTTTAAGTGCAAAATCATAACTTCTTATGTAATGATGTTTTTTTTTTAAGTTTATGGTAGATTCTGACTTGTATCTTTATAAATTGAAGGATAGTTTTTATCTGAAGTATTTAAAATGTAAAATATCTTAATGATCTTTTAAATAGTAATGCTTTTATTTTTTGTTTATAATCATAAAGTAGATAAATTATCAATTTATGGAGTATTTACTGAATTACTAAATAGTAGATTTAAAAAGGCTTAGAGGAAAAATTAATGTATTTAGTACAATCAGAAAATAATTTTTTCCTAAATTCTTCAACCTCCTGTTCCTGTGTTTAACATTGGTAAAATTGGGTTGAATGATAATTTTGTATTTTTGTTAACAACGTACAGAGAAGACTGAGGTACTTGACAACTTTTTTTTGCCTCAGTCTTTACTCACAAGTGCTCTAGCCACTCTACCAAACTCTCAAAATTCAAAGGCAGAAACTGGCAGAATGAAGAACCCACTGTAGGAAAAGATCAGGTTTGAGGCCATCTAAGGAGCCTGAAGGTGGACAAGTCCGTGGGATCTAATGAGGTTCATCCAAGGGTCCTGAGGGAACTGGCAGATGAAGCTGCTAAGCCACTACTTGTCATAGCGAAAATTTGTGGCAGTCCATTTTCCAGTGACTGGAAAACGGGAAGCATAACCCCTACTATTAAAAAGGCAAAAAAGGAAGACCCTGGAAACTACAGGTCAGTCAGTCTCACCTCTGTGCCTGGCAAGATCAGGGAGCAGGTCCTCTTGGAAACTGTTAAGACGTGGAAAACAGAGATGATTGGTGAAAGAAAGCATGGCTTCACTAAGGGTAAAGTGTACTTGACAAGTCTGGTAGCCTTCTACAGTGGGGTTACATTATTGGTGGATGAGCAACTGATGTCTGCCTGGACTTGTGCAAAGCATTTGATATTGTCTCACACAGCATTCTTGTCACTAAGATGAACAGGCATAGATTTGATGGATGGACCACTTGTTGGATAAGGAATTAGATGGATGGTTCCACTCAAAGAGTTGCAGTCAACAGCTCAGTGTCAAGGTGGAGATCAGTGATAAGTCTTCAAGGAAGAAGATCATTACTCAAAAGGTGGTGAGGCACTGGAACAGGTAGCCCAGAGAAGTTGTGGATTCCCCATCCCAGGAGGTGTTTGAGGCCATGTTGGCTAGGGCTTTAGGCAACCTAATCTAGTCGAAAATGCCCCTGCCCATGGCAGGGGTTTGGAACTAGATGATCCTTAAGGTTCCTTTGAACCTAAACCCTTCCATGATTCTATGGAACACATTCCCCCATATATACAGACATTTAGATCCTGGAGCCTAGAAATGGTACTTTTAAAAATCTTCAGTCCATTTCGATTTCTGGGGAGAAGAGACTTTTGTCTTGTCTCATGTCTAGGGTTCAGTGAGGTCTTGAGACAAAGTAAACTGATTCACTGTGTATTACTAATACCATAGTAGCTATCTTTATAAATTTGTACAAAGGATTAACAAAATTCAAACCAAAAAGTTGAATAATCCATCCAAATAACTGTGTAAGCAAAATACTTTATTAGGATCCAATACCAATTGATAGGTATTTGCTTACTAAACTGACAGGAACATGAACCATGTTAGAAATACTGCTTATGTCTTTAAACGCAGAGTTACATTTGAAATGAAAGTGGAAAACCTAGTCTTGAGAAACAATTACCTTGCTGCTGAAAAGCTGACGTTTTAGGTTTTTTGATAAATGAGCTCCCCTCTGTTGGATGCTTTGGCAGTTCCTTCCTTCCTTCCCTCCTTCCTCTTTCCTTCTTTCATCTTCTGTCTCCAGATAATCTAAGGTTGTACTGTATTCTGTTACCAACTGATGCTGAAACATAAAAACTTAATTCTTTTTTTTTTCTTTGGGTGTGAACAGCATACAGTTGAAGACTGGAAGAGCTGCACTGCTGGTTGTCTTAAGGCCAATTACTCTCTGCTTCCATCTCCTTCACTTACATAGATTAGTGTGGTCACTTCAAACTGGGTATTGGGCACGGATCACTGGGGAAGATTCCTGTCTGCTGGTTTTTACCTCTTTCAAGGTCAAGTTTAACTATCCAAATAAATCCCCAACTTGCAGCTTCGGTTCCTTCTGTAGCATTTGTTTTCAAGATCCCAGTCTCTTTGAAAGGATGCAACATTTTGTTTACTGTAACTTGTTTTTCAGTCTGAATAATAAAAAGGCTGGGAGTAGCCAAATGTAAACAATGAATATAAACATAATGGTTATTCCAAAGTAAGAAGCTGTTAGGTCTTCAGGTAGAGAAGAGAGAGGAAGGAGGGAAATGAGTCAATGAAATCGCTGGTCCTTAGGAAGGAAGGAGGGAAGTTAGTCATGATGTTAAACAGTTTCCCTTACAGCAGTTCCAGAGCCTCACTCTCTTTTTACTGTTGTGCTGATTCCTTTCACATAATATCAGTGTTTTCTGCATCTGCAAAACAGAGCTGGATGTTTCAGAGAAAAAAATGCTGTTGATTATTGTTATCTGAGAGAGCATCTTAGCATTAGGGCTAGTCAATTAAGAGAATATTCTGATTAACACCAACACGTAATTATTATGCTAATCTCTCCATTCTGATTAATTGTGATCTTCAACATACAGGATTGTGTCTACAGCGTAGTTGCAAGGGCATCTTCCCATAATGAATACGCAAATAAGGAACTTATAGCAAATTAGTTGTAGCTTAGGCATTGCATTCAGAGTTAAGTTGCCTCTGTATTAACTTTTTCTTAAGAATAGGGGTGGGGTTTTTTAGATACCAAACTAATTTGAAGACTTGTAATTGCAGGCATGAAGAAGTTGGTCGTCTGCAGCTGCCTGACTTGCTGTTGCATCTGTTTGTTCCTGCTGATTGTGTAGAGAATTTGGGTCTTGCAGCTCTAGATAGCAACCAGCCTTAATATATTTTGCCTCACTCACCTGTAATTGTCAGCTTGTGTCAAATGTCAGAAGTACTTATGCTAGCAGTGGCTTATGGGCAAACCCAGAAGCTCTGAGTTTACTCCATATGCTGCCCATAACCACTGGTGTTGTATGCTGTGGCTGTTTCTGGGCTATCTAAGCTACAGGCTTTCACTAAATCTGTTTTATGTTGTTTTACAGAGTCCAGTGTCACTCAGTGTCCCTGGTAGACCTTGATCAGGCAACATCCCAATCCATCCATTTAGTCCAAACAAAATGGAAATGGGTTTTCTACTAAGATCTTTCTCAGTTTAATATTTTTTTTTTGGACTTCTGATCTGCCTTCTTTCTTGTTTGTATCTGAGGCTGCTTTCTATTAGGAGGCACTAGAATAACAGTTTTGGAGCAGTAAATGTCCAAGGTACCTTCTGGCCCTGAAGCCTACTAATCATCTGGCTTTTAGGCCTGTCCAGTAAGCTTTTGTACTAAGATAGTAGGTGCTTAGTATCTTTTTTTATTCATCTAATCTCAAATGGAAACTAGGCTTATCAAATCAATTTTCATCCTTTTCTTTCCTTGCTGCCCTACACACACACCAATAACCTTTTATCCTTTTGGCCAACCACAGAGAATCTCAGTTACCAGTTTTCAAAGATAATGAGGTTTCTGCTGATTTAATCAGAATCAGTAGCTATATGACAGTGAGGAACAGACTGAAATTAGTGTCCCTTCCATGTGAATGAAAAGGCAGGGAACAGTTGCTTGGCAGTAGATGATGCCCACCAAACACATGAGCACTGGTTAATCAGTTAGCATGGATGTTGCTCAGGATGAGCCATAAATGTGTTGCTTCTTGCCCCGCTGACAGGACAAATGAGGAGACACAGGCAGAGTTGGCAGCATTCAGTAAAAAGGCATTGGGGTACAGGAAGAAGCCAAGGGCATGGAGGAATTAATAGGGGGAGATCTGTTGGTGGTATGGGAGCAGGATGGGCCTTTAGGGTGGTGCTGGCAGCACGGGTATCTGAAGTCACTAGAATACATGCAGAGGTGAATGGTAGTGGAAACACAAGGTAGACATCTAAAAAAATAATAATCTGGACTCATTATAAGACTATAACCTGGATCTGCTATCTGGACTATAACATACCAGGCAGATTGTTGCTTTCTTTTTGTAGAATCATTAAGGTTGGAAACGACCTCCAAGATCACCTGGTCCAACCATGCCCCTACTACCAATGTCACCCGTGTCCCTAAGCACCAGGTCCAACCTTTCCTTGAACACCCCCAGGGGCAGTGACGCCACCACTTCCCTGGGCATCCCATTCCAATCCCTAACCACTCTTTCAAAGCATAATGGTAGAAGTACTGTAGACCTTAACATGTACAGAATAATGTAAGATTCCCTGTTTGTAGCAGCAAACTACTTTTTTCTTGACACCATTTAAGCAGACTATAGCAATACAAGCAGTCATGGCAAGTTAGATCTGTAAAAATCGGATTTTTCAACTAGTCAAGTTCTGTCGTAATTTTGTATCAAAAGCATAACATTAAAAATAATTTTTTTAAAGTTAGACATAAAAACTATTGTGCTTATTATTTTGAGAAAGAGACAAAAATCTAAACTGAAAATACTGTAAGGTATACACAGAGGTTTTACTTGTAAGGGAAGGAATCAATGAATAAGAACCAGACAGACTGATGAGATGTCAATATTTTCTCCAGTAATCTGGTTTTAAAAATCAATAGAAACCAAATGTTTTCTTTAAATGTTCAACTCAAATGTTCAAACTTTTTTTTTTTCTAAGTGAACTGTTATTGCCTTTCTTCGGTAATCAGTTATCCAGGCAGTTATTAAAAAGGGGTTGAGTTTGTTCTGATTGAAACAGGAGAGTTACAATTTTTTAATAACTGAAGTAGAGGGCGTTTTGACAAGTACTTGTGTTTAGAACAGGTTTCTTTGGCAGCAGCAATCAGTCGTACCTGAGGAAATAAAATTTATGTGATGTCCTACTGTTACAATAGGCACAAAAGTGTTGGTGCAATTCATTGAGGAGGTATTGAAGTCAGAAGTTACCCAGTGATTCAGAGAAACACAGAAACAGTTGGAGACTACTAGTGAAAACCAGGTAATATTTGAGGCACTTCCCCAAGGTTTCATCAGTATTTAGTGCAGGGCAGGTAAAAGAGGAGGTTGTGAGTAAACAAGGTAGCTTGGTGCAAGTTTCGTGGTTGTACTATGCAGTGAGAAAGGAAGAACACAGAAACTGTGGTATTTGTCATAATAAATGTCCTAAAATAATTCCCTAAGGAAAGGTTTTGGTTATACAGAATATGCACAGTTGTGGACATTTTCTTCTTACCAAAAAGAAGATACTTTAAAACAAATGAGATGGGGTTCTGCACACTGAGTATTAAGTAGCTTTACTTGTGCGGGTCCAGAGAAGGGCGACGAAGCTGGTGAGGGGCCTGGAGAACAAGTCCTACAAGGAGCGGCTGAAGGAGCTGGGCTTGTTCAGCCTGGAGAAGAGGAGGCTCAGGGGCGACCTTATCGCTCTCTACAGATACCTTAAAGGAGGCTGTAGTGAGGTGGGGGTTGGTCTGTTCTCCCACGTGCCTGGTGACAGGACGAGGGGGAATGGGCTTAAGGTGCGCCAGGGGAGTTTTAGGTTAGATGTTAGGAAGAACTTCTTTACTGAAAGGGTTGTGAGGCACTGGAACAGGCTGCCAGGGAGGTGGTGGAGTCACCATCCCTGGAAGCCTTTAAAAGACGTTTAGATGTAGAGCTTAGGGATATGGTTTAGTGGGGACTGTTAGCGTTAGGTCAGAGGTTGGACTCGATGATCTTGAGGTCTCTTCCAACCTAGAAATTCTGTGTGTGTGTGTGTGTGTGTGTTTTCAATTTAACTCTCTGATGTACATTTTTATAAGCCGATAGGCTTTTTTTGTGCAATGATGTCTACCTGGACTTGAATATTAAGCTTACATTACAGAATATAGTACTTTCATTACTAAGCATTGTAAAAACCTTTTTAAGTTACATAAAGTAAAGATATATTTCTCTGACACAAGCTGAATCATTTTCTTCAAGGCTTTTTTTTTTTTTTTTTTTTTTTTACCAGCCATTACTTGCTGATAGGAAAAAAAACTGTGAAGACTTCAGGTCCATAAAATGCTTCTTCACATATTTATGTTCCACACAGTAACTGTGGTATACTGAGATGGGGGGATCCAGGTCCTTATCTTAAACATACAGTATTCGAATGAAAGGCATATGAAGAAAAAGTGACTTCTGCCCAACACCAAAAAATAAAGCAGCTAGGTGGTAAAGTTTTCAGATCTATAGTAGTTTGAGTGGTTTTTTGTTTGTTTGGTTGGTTGGTTTTTAATTCTTTTTATTTGATTGACTTCATTTACATTTTAAAAGAGTATTTAAAGGGAGTATGTGTGTGCTTTAAGAGTTCCAGTGCAAATCAGTGGGACAGTGGGAGTTTTTTCCTTTATTCTTTTTCTTTTTCTCCTTTCGTCTTTTCAACTTATTCCTACTACATGAGTTTAGTTGACTTTCTTACTGGCATCCAGGTCTTGGTGGGAAATGAGTGTCAGGAAGGCACTTTCCTCCTGCAGAACAGCGATAATGAAAAGGTCTGTGGCACAATTCTGGAGGAGCAAACAATAGCACCAGTTAGCACTTTATTTTTTGGAAATACTAATTAAAGTTTGATAAACCTTTTTTCTTTATGTATATGGCTCATGACAGGTAGTATTTTTTTACCAGTTAAAAAAAAAAAAAAGAAGTATCTCATAAGTGGATTTCTGTTTCCATTAAAGCCCATCACGACCTAAACCCATATTTAGTAAGCAAGCAATATATCTTCTGTTTTTCTATATTCAACATTAAGAATCAGAATTCTTAACTGAATTGTATAGTTGAGTACATGAATATATGTATTTGTGTCAGATCTTCCTACTTAGCAGAAAGTAGTTCCAAATTTTAAAAATACATTATGTATTTTATTACATAGCTCAGCGATAATGCCACCTTGTTACGTGTATAACAGAACTGAGTCTACAAAACATGAATGAATGTGATTATTTAACTAATTGTCTCCTATTTGTTTGTTTTACTCAGTTTTAGTGTCAATGACTTCATTCTGACTTGAATTAATCTACCTTCTTTGTTCCAGATTTTTTTTTCAATTTACTTGAGCATTTGTCTAAGTCGAGCAAAGTTTCTGTTAGAACTATTAACTTTAAAATTCATTTGTTTCCTGTAGCTTAACAGAGATATTCAGTAAAATAAATCTGGGGACTTTTGTTTCTTAACAGAAATTCCCAAATGAAGGACTGGCGAATGTTGTTCGAAATGTTTTTGACTTCGACTCCTACAACAATGAAATGCGTGAAATTTTAATCAGCACTTTGCACAAATACGGGATACCTATTGGAGCAAAACCGACCAATGTACTGCTGGCCAAGGAGTAAGAGTAAAATAAGATCTATTTTAAGAAGACATGTCTCTCATGATCACTTTTTATAGTGCATTATCTTGCTGCTAACTGATTTTAAATCAACCTGGAATACTTGAAGTCAATACTCCTCTGGTTCAACTTATATTCCTACAACAATTTAAATTACTTTATGATAGAGTATTTGCTTATTACTAATATTTAATCTTTACTTAATGTCCATGCACATATTGATAGTTTGTATGATAAACAGATATATATTAATAAAGGGAAATACTTGTTTCTTCCTCTGTGTTTTTAATTTAATTGCAACACGTTTCTGTCCTGTTACTTACCATTTAAATCAATATCAAAAGAAATAAATTGTCATCAGCATTAGTGGGATTTTGTCTTTGATACTCACAAAAGGCTCTACAAAAATACTTCTGTAGAATAGAGCAGTGTATGTAATTAAGCGTATAAACCAAGAATCATTTATGTGTCTGTGTATCACTATTATTCTTTAATTACATTGATAATTGACATGTTACACCATATGGTTTTCAGAGGTTAGAATCAAAATAGCTATTTTTAAGAATAAATTGTGAAATGAAAACAGATTTAACTCATTCTTATAGTTCATAGACAGGTTTAAGTAGGTCATATTGAAAAGCAGTTAGAGAACTTACTGTGGCTTGAACTCTAATGTGATTTGTTCATGGAGAAACAAATATTTCCCTTTCATGAAGAAAGCTTTATGGATTTATGGTAAATTGAGTTTGCCATGGGACATACTACTTTTATATTTGCTAAGGAGGCACTGATTCTTAGGACATGATGTCTTGATATTAGTGTCTGTGTAGGTTTCTTCTACTGGTGCACCGCTGTTATCCTATCTAACATCCTACATATAACTATTAAATTAAACTGGCAGTGTAATGACTGTGGTGTACCTTTTCGTTCAGATGACAGAAGAATTACATGCCTAGGGAACTGATGGTTGAACAACTACGGTGTCTATCAAACTGACAGTACACACTTGAAACTTTCCATAGTTTCTTTGCTAAAAGTCACTTGGTAATTTCTGTTTCAACGAATTATGTTTGTCATAGTTCTTGAGAAATTTGCACTTTATATAATTTTTATATAATTTTTAAAAGTACTAGGTGTGGATTTACATGGGCGGTACAGAGAGAATTCTCTAGCAATGAGGAAATAAGAGACCTAGGAAACAAGAGAGAGACTGCTGTTATTGGGGACTATTCAGTCTAGAAGTGCGAAGGTAGAAGAATTGGATCATCTTGATTTAGGGATAATTACCTGATCGTTTTGGATCTGTCACTGAGGTTTTATGTGACAGGTTACACCAAGACCTATGAGAACCCCATGCTCATCAAAAACTCTTTCAGTGACAGCCAAGGAAACATACTGTGTACACTGAAAGCCAAAATTAGGGAGAAACTACAGGAACAGTTCCCAAGCAATTGATAAAATCAAGTCTTTTTCTAGATCTCACAGTGCAAGACAGAGCCTAGGCTGACACCTGACTCTTGTGATCCTGAGATCTTGGTCTCAGTAGCTTACCTACATCCCCCACATCTGCAAGTTCAGATTATCCTGCTTCTCTCTGCCATAATAACATTGCTGTTGGTTGTAAGATAAAACCCTGTGGAGCTTTTGAGCCACAGGTAGATCACCCTGAATTACAGACACATCTTTCGGGAATGGTTTAGGTATGGCTGATTCTGCCTTGGGGTAAAAGAACATTGTGGTAATGTCTCCAAATCTGTTCCAGCCCAAATTGCACGATCCTGTGATGGACACATTGAGGTACTTCAATACAATATTTGGACCATGTCAGAAAAGGTGCTACATGTTTAGAACTAGAGTACAGGTGTCCTTTATATTATTTTGCAGGATTTGGGAAGTAGGATAATGGTGCTAATCTAGTCCAGCTCACTTCATAAAAGGTGCAAGTTAATCTAAAACCTTCTTATCTGATTTTTCCCTTGATCCATGTCAAAACTTTCAGAGATGGAGTTCTGTAAGCTCCCTAAGCAAGTCATCCTTCTTCGTAAATATCCTTGCTATTAGAAAGCCATCTCAAAGCTAGACACACCCATTTCTCTATCTTCCCATTTTTAATGCCTCTGGTGGTTTTTCTTTTATGTTTGCTTTATTCCCACGTGCACTTGGTTCATGTCTGTCTTTAAACATGGTGTGTGAAAACGAGCAGGTTACTTTCTGCTGGAGCTGAGTGGAGTAGTAAGAGAATATAGAATATAGGGATGTGTTTCATTCAGCAGTTCATTTTAAAAATTCCAATGTTTGCATTTCTTGCAACTTTTAACTTATGTCTGTTTTTTCAATGCTAACCTTTGGGTCCTTTCTGCAGAACCCTGCACTCACCCCTTATCTGTTTTGCGATCAATCTCCTTCATACTTAGACGTTCTTAATATATAGTATTTAATGTAAAATTAAATAACAAGTTTTGCAATAGAAAAGCATTTCCAGAGATCCTAGGACATGAAAAATCATTATTGCAAAATCACAGTTAATCCAGAGGAGGTTTAGATTGTATACTAGGAAGAATTTCTTCATGGAGTGGTTGGCCAAGCATTGGAATGGGCTGCCCAGGAAAGTGGTGGAGTCCTCATCCCTGGAGATATTTAAGAGATGTATGAGTGTAGCACTAAAGGTCATGTTTTGGTAATGTGTCTCAGTAGGTCAAGTTGATGGTTGAACATCGTGATCTTGAAGGCGTTTTCCAACCTAGATGATTGTATGACTATACTGAAGTACTGACTATTATGCAGGTACTCTTTGGCATGCCTTAACGATTCTATTGGATCCAGCAATTTGTGAGTCCTTCTTTTGTTTTAATACATTTTTGAGAAGTCTGTCTGTCATCTATTAATGAGGAAAAAAAAACTTAGAGAAATTACAATTATTTAAATTGCTGCTGAAACATAATTGCATTAAGTGTAGGAACAGAACCATGAGACACATGAGCAACACACTGCAGTGCAGAGTCTCAAGAGAAGGAACTTTGATGGTTGTATTCGAGTGAAATTTCAGGGGAAATTTAACAGAGAGTAACAGTGACCCTTATGGGAATTTTAGCTTAGGCTCTGGAATTAACATACTTAATCTTGGGAGGCATTTGAGGTGGTATCTAATTACCATTTAGAAAAGAGTTCTTGCAGTAGTTGTTTTTTCAAGAGAGAAATTAATTTGTAAATGCTAATTCATTTATTTCCTAAATTGGTGTTTTATATTAGACCTTTTCTCTTTGACTTCATGTGCTCTCAGGAGATTTGTGAAGCAATTGTCAAACTGAACTAATGGCTATCCCTTTAGAAAAATTCTACATCTGTTCAGAGATACAGAAATAAAATGTTAGCCTCCTGGTATCTTTTATTTCAGATCCTGGTTCTGTATTCAGCTCATTCTTCTGTAGCATATTTGTTGTGTGGAAGTTTCTCCTATTCTAATATTAGACAGATAGGATTCTGCTTAATTCCTAAGATTTAATGAGATGGCAAAACAGACTACAGAGTTAAGCTTTAAAAGCCTGGTTTTTATCAGAATGTTTTTCCTACTGTTTTTCAAGCACAGTAATGCTTTACTTTTTTTTCCTACCTAATCCTTTGGGCCTTTTTGTTTCCTTGAGGTTGTATTTTCCAAATAAGATGGCCATTCTTCAAGACACTGACATGCAATATTGTCGGCTTAGTATGTTGTGATATTGTCAGTATCTCCTGGTGGTACCTATTGAGTGGTTGATTTTTTTTTATCACTATGTTGAATAAAGCAGATGGCTTGTCTGCCATGCTTTGCCAGCACATAGTGGCTAAATACCCATTCCATTTTTCTCCCCTCCTTTTGCTACTCACTTCTACATGCTTGCTAGAACTTGAATATTCATTTTATATGAACTGAATCATTTATATGCAATGCAAATGTGTAAATTTTAATGGCTTTGCTGTTCTCTTGAGTCTCGTCCTTTCAGGTAGCATGTAGTTAAATGTTGGATCCGGCGCATATTATATGTGTCTCTTTTCCATCCTGTGTACTTGTGTGTGTGTGTTTGCACTTGGCTGTAAAGGAACAGGTAGCCTAACATGAATATTTTCTGAATATCTACTGCTTATATTCTAATCAAAAAGTATTTTCATTACAGAGATCTGGATGGTAAAGTAAGTTCTTGCATTCAAACTGTATCTTATTTAAGTTGAATAAAAAAAAAAAAGAGAGGGGGGATAAATGTCTGTTTGGCTAGACTGAACACAGACTTTTGTTTAAGCCCTTGAATACTACATTCTGTTCCAGTATTAAGCTAGTTTACAAGATCAAGTAGGTAAACAGTTCTGTTACCTGTCAAAGTTCACAACTGACGCTGTACGAGTAGGGCAGCTGGCTGTAGAGAATTTAGTGAAACTTTGTTCTTACAGTGTTCTCAGCTGGTTTCCAGTATGCTCTCAGAAACTTAAATGGATACGTTCATAAAGCAAGATCTATTGACTTTTTTGATTTATTTTTTTAATTAGCCTAAAATGAATGTATTTTCTAAATTTAAAAAGTGAAAAAAAGTATACTGTAGGTGTCACTTTGAGTAGTTTTCCAGCATCAGAAGTTGCTAGATAATAATCTTTTAACAGATTGTCTTCCCTTAGACCGGTATGTGTGAAGAAAATCAGGCTAAATAATAGTTAGGGGTAGAATTGCCACATCAAGTGTAAGTCCTGTGCCTATCATCTTTTCTGAACAAATGTTCTTACGTAACCATTTCATTGACAGCAGTGATCTTAAGGAAAATGGTGTAAAACTAGGAGCAAGTAAATTTGATTATTCCAAATTTTTTCTTAACCTGCAGACACTGCCACATCCATAAGGAAAGAAGTGATTAGGAATAATTCATTAGAACTTGCTTTTAAGTCTTGGCTTCCTTACAAGATTTCTGCAGCCTGTTGTGTGGTTTTTCTCTTCTCTGAGCCCTTTTCAGCTTTTGAGGAAAGCATGGCTTGGGGTACATTAAAGCTGGAGATAGCCATGGAGTTTCAGTACAGTTCTTACCCTCCCACTGCACTTTCCTACACCCATTGGATCTCTTTGCTTCTCAGAGTTCTGTCTGCCCTTTATGTAAGCAGTGTTTGGTTCGCTTAATTCAGTTGAAATACTGTAGAGTGTCAGGAGTGCCTTGTGAAGCTTTTTACCAGCACTGTCACTTCAAGTTACTTTCAAAACTTTGTTGTTATCTCTAAGTCCTGGGAAAAGAAAAGTCTCTGTACTTCACTGTGTATCATATATATTCAGTAGAGGAAAACTTTAAGAGGTGTACGTGTCTCCAGAGTGGTCACTTTGTTCCAGAAGGACTTTGTTCCAGAAGGATTTCCACCACCAGCTTCTTCTATACTCTGCCTTTCTTATATCAGGTTTCTGTGCAGTGAAATGGACTTAAAAATAACTGTCAGGTCCTACTTTTCCTGACAAAGGAACTTCACATTATGAATTCTGTTCTTTGTTTTATTCCTAAATTCTGATCTACCTTTCCCTCCTCTTTACTGTTCGTGATGGCTGAGTCTGCTGCCCTAGAGAAACTAAATTATTCAGGAGCAGGGAAGAGAACAAAACCTCAAGGATCTGGGAGAAAGGAGAAATCAGTTTTCCTAAGGGAAGAGAGGAACTGTTAACAAAGCAAATCTCCAGAAAGCTGAAACAGAGTGGAAATGTTTTGTTTCTTTGGGAATGCGATCTGTAATTCTGTTGCTATATAAAGCAGGGTATTCAGTTAGTGCTGGTTATTAACATATGTTTTGTTTTAAAATCTAGTAAGTACTCATGATTATTAGTGAACCCATTTATTTCTAGGATGTTGTCCATGGGAGTAATGTGTAAGGAATTAAAAACTAAATCCAAATCCTTGTGGAAGCTGATGTACCATTGAGCTAATAGGAAACAATTCTTGCTGATTATAGGCATATCAGAGATTATCCTACTCATAGTAATCATTACCAAATATATATATATCCCTAGTTTCTTTTTGCACACAAGACAATATTGGCTCAAGACATAACCAAAGTTTTGCCAACAAATCATTTTGAAACCCGGACAGATGCTTGAAGTAAAATTCCAGTTTATGGATAAACTGACTTATCCTGAGACTGGACTGTTTTGCCCTTTTTCAGACTGCGTGAATGCACTTATCTAAGAATTGTCTATATGTGGAAACAGTACATCCTGAACATTTTTTCCTAATGATCTTAAATATTGCAAAGTAAAATATATTGTATTTGCATTTCTTTCGCGTCTGGCTTTTTTTTTTTTTTTTTTCTAATTTGGGACAAATCAGGCAAGGTATAAAAGTGCAAACTGGAGTGAGGAAGAATGCAAAATAAATCACACTTTAAACATCGGTATCTGTTGATATTCATAAATAGGCCACAAACAGGCAATAAATACTCCACTGGTTCTTTGGCTAAGAGAGGAAAATAATGACTTAAGAGAATGACTCGGCTTGGAAGGAACCTTAAAGCTCACCCAGTTCCACCCCCCTGCCATGGGCAGGGACACCTCCCACCAGCCCAGGTTGCCCAAAGCCCCATCCAGCCTGGCCTTGAACATCTCCAGGGATGGGGCATCCACAGCTGCTCTGGGCAATCTGTCCCAGCACCCTCCGAGTGAAGAATGTCTTCCTAATATCTAATCTAAATCTCCCCTCTTGTAGTTTAAAACCATCCCCCCCTTGTCCTATCATGTCTGCCCAAGTAAAAAGTCAGTCTCCATCTCTTTTATAAGCCCTCTTTAAGTACTGAAAGGCCACAATGAAGTCTCCCCGGAGCCATCTCTTCTTCAGGCTGGACCTCTGTCTAACCTTTTTTCATAGGAGAGGTGCTCCAGCCCTTTGACCATCTTGGTGGAATGTATTTCATACACTTCCCTCATTATGTGCCTCAGTGGTGTATTGCTGGCAGCTAGATGTTTATCTAAGATCTGTAGCATCCAAACCACTTTCTGTTTCCAATGTGTCTTTGGCTATCTGACTGCCTTGGCAGATGGTCCAAATGCAGAATGGGGATGGAGACTGACTCCCTGCGAGTACTGGCTTCTCCAGGTTGCTTGAGGTTTGGTGTCAATATTCCAGTAAGAAATGTTAATGCATCTTTCCTGCGTGAGTTGGAAGGATTAGAGGATATTAGTGTTCATTCCCTGACATTTTCTCTTAAGTTCTCAATGAAAAAAAAATACTAAATATTGCCAAGATTCATATGTAGTCCAACTGGGGATTTTTGACTGGAGATAACTTCTTATTCCGAAAAGAGCATCAAGAAGAATAGAAACAAACCTCTGGGATCCAGAGGGGCCAGGTTGGTTTGTGGGGAGAGGGGAAAAAATGGAACATGTAGGAAAACATCATGAAATGGGACAGAAGAGGCTGAGCACAGGCTTTTAACAAACAATCTTACGAGAACTTCCTTAAAATAGACTTTGGAGATATTTATAGAAACTGGGAGAGGGAATGTCTTCTGTTCTCCTGCCAAGTCCTGGAGCTGTACAATAACGTGCAACTGCTTGTAACGCAGAATGCAGTTTTGATAGGAGGTCTCTTTAGGAGCAATGGATCCTAAATAAAAGAAACCAAAAGGATGAGTTCATTAGCTCGAATGTATTTGTGCCAATCAACACAGTCAAACTGCTTTTAGTGGTTGCACATCACTGGAGAGAGAACAGAGGGGGAAAAAAGTTGTCCCTTATTTGCTGTCACGCTACTCTGTTATATGCCATCATATTTCTTTTCCTATATGAGTTTTAAAATGAGTTTTGCTTTGGCCTGTATATTCCTTCCCTAAGAAAAAAGTCCAGAAATGAAGAAGTCAGACCAATGAAACCAACAGAGGCTCTCAAAGAAGCCTCTGCCCTTGCTGTAGGCTGTACTGGCCAGAACGCAGTGGCAGACTCTCACATCTGTATTACATTGCCTATGTTCATGTGAACAGAGGCAAAATATATGGAAAAAAAAAAACAACACTGAAGTTATTGCATAGCTGACTTTCCACATTGTTTACTGTGCTTATTCTGCTGGCTTTTTAGAAGTGTGTCAATTACAGCTGTTCCTGTAAGTGGTACTATCACATCCTGTCTGATCTGAATAAAACAAAGCAAGAGACTTCTCAGATATATTTTATTACATACCTCAAATAATTCAGACTGGAAAAGTTTTCTTTTGAGGCCATATTATATGAAAGGTTCCTTCTTTTATTATGCTGTTTAGGTTGTGATTGTATTAGTATTCCAGAAGGCTAAAAATTCTGTGATTTAAAACATAAAATAAATGAAATATTTGAGCAAGGAAGTGTTTTCTGAAAGAGAATCTTTAAATATGTTTAGTTGGAAAAATGCTGTTGTTTAAATGATTTATTCCATATCAGTTGCAAGTTAATGAATATAAAAATTCGTTTGTTCCTGCATTGTTTGACAGACTGCCATTACCAGATCATAAATTTATAGGCTACTGGAAAATCGATCAGCCTGGGAATGCACAACAGAAACTGCTGTGTCCCACAGAAACTCAGAAAATAGATGTAAAGGTTTGTCTCTTTTTTTTTTTTTTTAATACACAAAATACTCTTTCTATGTATTGGGATGTGAAGAACCTAAAATGACCTTTCTTGTGTACCTAGCCCTCAGAGTGTGGGATGTGCTTTAAAAATCAGTACATTTGGTCAGAAGTTCTTGAAAAGAGCTTTTATAAAGACACCGAAAGTACCATGTTTGAAGGAACTCTGTGGCTGTTTTGGATGCTTGGAAGTGGCCAACTTCAGCCCCCAGATTTCAATTTTTGGATAAGATCAGAGACTAACTGAAAAGAAAGCTGTTTTCCTGTTTTTATTTTACATGCAGATGAATTCTTATGGGTCTTTGGCACTGCCAGGTTTGAATCTGAAATTTTGGTACAATTTGATCCGCAGTCAAAGCTCTCAAGTCCTTTTCAGCTTTGAGCTCTTGGCCTAACTTCAGTAATTATTACTCCAGTGCGTCAGGGAAAAAACCTGAACTGCTAATGTGACATGGGATTCATATAACAAAAAATTGCCATTGAACTTCTTTGAAACAAAAAAAGATTCTGATTCTTTCCCTTGTGTGGATGGTGTTTTATCAGAACATGATACTTCCTTCATGCCATTGAGTAATAATGGTTCCAAACCAATAAATAACTAAGATGAAGGCACGATGGTCTCTCTATTGTGAAGAAAATGGCTCTATGAACATTCAGAGAGCTTGCAGAGAAGTATTTCATCTACTCTATAATTTATTAATTGTTTCTGTTGTTAATAGCATTAACAGTCTTGAAGAAGACTTCTAGATTCAAATAATGACAAGCAAAGTATTTTAGCAAGCCCTCATTGTTATCATTTGTTTTAGGGCCCTATATACCTAAATATTCAAGGATTTCCACTGGAACGACATGAATCCCGGTCCCTCAATTTCACAGAAGAACTTGCCTTTTGGAGACTGCCTTTGGGTGAAGTTAACTTTGTTTGCGACGTCACTGTAACAAAAGGTATGGTAAGAAAAGCTAGGAACTTTTGTAATGATTCCCAGTATCATAAATACATGAAATACCCTGGAGATTAAGAAGAATTGGACTATTGACATCATAAGTGCCTGTTGATAGCCAATGACAGAATATGAAAGGATAATATGCATGTGTAATGTTCTAAGGCTAGTAACACTTTGGTGTTTTTTCAATAGTCTGTATTTCTGGGTATCTTTGCAGAGGATAAATTAATTAATTAATCTTTTTCCACTTTTTTTTTTTTAATATTATTTTAACAGTGGATGAAATACAAAAATAATCAGCCACTGAAATGGGAGCATAATTTCAGACATTGTGGTCTTTGTTAGGATATGCATCCTCAACTGAGAGAAAGATACGTATAAAGCTTCAGAAAATGATTATTTGACTTTTTCCTTTTTCTCTTGGTCAGTTTAGTTTTAATACAAACCTTAAAACTTGCATAGTGCTATGCTTAAACTGATCAAAATTCTTTCTCACTGAATCAAACCTGCCTTAGTTACTCATATTTCTTATGTCCCAAAGTGAAATTGAATTACTAGGAATGTTCATAAATATTTTTAGGGTTCATTTGGATGAGGGGGAATTGATTGTACCCTCAATAAGTTTGCAGATGATACCAAGTTGGGAGGTAGCTTCGAAGGGTGGGCCTTCAGAGGAATCTGGATAGGCTGGACTGCTGGGCTGAGGCAAATGGGATGAGGTTTAATAAGGCCAAGTGCTGGGTCCTGCATTTTGGCCACAATAACCCCATGCAACACTATTGGCTTGGGGCAGAGTGTCGAGAAGACTGTGAAGAAGAAAGGGACCTAGGAGTGTTGATCGATGCTTGGCTGAACATGAGCCAGCAGTGTGCCAAGGTGGCCAAGAAGGCCAATGTTATCCTGGCCTGTATCAGCAATAGTGTAGCCAGCAGGAGCAGGGAGGTGATCGTCCCCCTTTACTCAGCTCTGGTGAGGCCACACCTCAAGTACTGTGTCCAGCTTTGGGCCCCTCACTACAAGGAGGACATCGAGGCCCTGGAGTGTGTCCAGAGAAGGACTACAATACCGGTGAGGGGTCTAGAGCACAAGCCTTATGAAGAGCAGCTGAGGGAGCTGGGGTTGTTTAGTCTGGAGAAGAGGAGGCTCAGGGTAGACCTCATTGCACTCTACAGCTTCCTGAAGGGAGGTTGTGATGACGAGGGGGTCGGCCTCTTCTTTCACATAACTAATGATAAGACTCAAGGAAATTGCCACATGTTGCACTTGCGTAGATGTAGATTAGATATCAGGAAAAACTTTTTCTCTCAAAGAGTGGTCGGGCACTGGAACAGCCTGACCAGGGAGGTGGTGGAGTCACCATCCCTCAGGGTGTTCAAGAAGCATCTGGACAAGATGCTATGAGATAGGATTTAGTAGCTTAGTGGGTAATACTGGTGATAGGAGGATGGTTGGACTAGATGATCTTGTAGGTCCTTTCCAACCTTGTGTTTCTGTGATTCTCTTCTATGATTCTATGATTCATCATTAAACATGTCTAAACTTCACTGAGTATTATAAACAGATTGTTAATGATCGATACTAGAATGCTGCTTTTTCTGCCTGTATCCTGAGTTTCAAGTACATTTGGAAACTTTTATGACAGTGAAAGAGAAATTGCCTTGGTTTGATTTTAAGAATTCTCTCAAGTGCAGCTGGAAGTGCCAGACTTTCCACGAAGTTTGCATTTGTCCCATGTGTAAATAATGATTAAATATATTAATTGAAGGGGAGAATGGGATAGAGGAGGGAGAACCAAAATTATAAACAAACAAAATCTTTTAGACAGATGTTGTGTATACTGGCAGACACTGTAGTCGTATCTACAGAAATGTGCCTTGGACTACTTGTTTAAAGAGTTCGTAATGTTGTGGCAAGAATCTGCCTGTTAACATTTAGTTAGTATCAAGAGACCATTTATCTCTCTTGATCTCCCTGTGTGATGGTAATTGTCATGGTGGTAATTTTGCTGTACATTTTACTATATCTGCTTAGTTTATAATATATGTTTCCAAAATAACAATATGCGATATCAGAAGCCTTTCTGTTATTTTCCTCTTTCAGAAGATGAAGCTGAAAATGTTCTTTATGTTACTACTTGCAATCCTGTTGCCTTGTACTTCATGAATGTTTCTAGTAAGAATGGATCCTTTGTGGATTTCTATGACCTCTTCCCAAGAACAGTTGGAAATGTCTGGCAACCTTTTGTGACTGTGGCACCACTGGGAAATCCACTCAAAGGTCAAGTGCTTGTACATGAAGAGCAGGTAAAAAAAAAAACACCACCACCACTACCAGCAAAAACAACAAAACAAAACCCACACAACCAGCAAACTACAGCTAAAAGTTTGCTGATGAGTTAAATAGTGTCATAAAGTCAGAATCACTAAGGTAGTCTACCTCTGTAGATGGAAATAGCGTGGATAAGCCTACCCCCTTCTGAATGTACTTTTTTTCATTATACTCGAAGCCTGAGAGTTTCCTCAGCTTTAATATTTATGTATAGATTTTTCTCTTGCACTTTTTTGCTGATTTAAAAGAACCCATTATGTGTTTTGCATTATGTTGAGTTCTATCTGCTTATCTTAATTCTCTTGGCCTTTATGAGAGAAGGAAGATTGAGTTAAGTTCAGGAGTCTCAGTCAAGCAACATGCATTTGAAAAGTACAAAGCAAGCTGGTTTATTCCGTGAATTTAAGTTCTGCTCCGGTCTTGTCCCCTTTTTGCTTTTTGAGCAGTATATGAAAGAGACATTTTCTGAGTCACAATGTAAAATATTGCTTATATTTGCTTCACGCCACTATTTTTGGTTTGTTTTCTGAATCCTGGTATTTCTTATTCTGTAACATCTGAAGTACTGAGACTAGAAAGAAGGCTATGTAAGCCTTGACATTTAGTGTATCAGCAATGCAAATTTAGAACCACTGACGACTTTAGGGTTGGTTTGACTTGAATCCTTTTTTCAGAGTCAAGTAATGCATACTTTCCACATACTTTTGCCTTTCCATTACTATCAGTGACTGATGGGAACATTTCCAATTTAAAGTTTCTTTGCCAAAGAGTGAGAAGAGACAACAGTTAATAAAATGCTGCTGGTTATTATTATTAATTTTTAATTAATATTTATCATTCTCTGTGTTACCTACCAGTCACAGTGGTTTGACATAAGCATTTAATGTGGTCATTATTGTTGGTTGGTTCTTCCTTTTCATTTTGTTCTGAATTTCTTCTGCCCATTTTTTGATAGGTAAGAGAAGCCAAGTTAGCAGAGCTTTTCCTGCACTCAGTTGGGATTTAAGTAGTTTTCAGTCATTCCGTAACTAGTGTCTCTGTGGTACTGTTGTTCCAGAAATATTTGTCAAGTGTTGATGGCACTTTCTGGCCCCAAACATGACAGTTAAGCTCAATACCTTATAAGAAACACAATTCTGCCTTTGGTAGAGCTGCGTATGCCTTCTTTAGTTTTGTCTTGGACGCTTTCCAGTGCCAACTGGAAAAATATGATTCTGAAGATACCTGCTTATCGCAATTGCCTGCGTGGTTGTCTTGAGCAGCTATAGAAGTATGATTTGGGTTATTTTGAGATGCACATGACAAATTTGTTCAGTTCTAAACAATCCTTGGCCTTTTTTGGCAAAGTCAATGCAGGAAACTGTAAAACAGATGGCAGTCTATCTTGTGTCTAAGAATGTTTAGAATGTCTCACACTTTTTAATATAAAGCCCAGCAAGCAATATTCTTTGCTTTCTAAGTCTTTGAAATTCCTACCATGAAAATAATTGTCCTGCTAGTTCATTTTTAACCAAATCACAGGAGGATTCAGTTTCAGCACGGAGGGTTTTATTAGAGGTTTGTCCGTGAAGCTTTAGACAGTTAATTAACTCTGTGACTGGTTTTGCCTGCTCTCATGGCATATATTTTTCAATGACAGTATGACTTACTCTGAAATAAAGATTGTTTTATGCTAGCTCAGTGCCCCTTTCCAGTTGACTTACATTGAGCTGTAACCTCCTGTTTTTTTCACGAAAGCTTGAATATTGTCAGTTTCTTAGCAAGTGCTAATTTGAACAAATCCTGTCTGAAAATAAGTATATTTATACTGCTGGAAAGCAATACAGAATTACAATATTCTGAATGCTTTACCTTAATCTTAGGACTCTTTACACAGTGTTAATACTAACATAGAGTTTACTGAGTGTGAAAGTGTGCTTCATTAAACTACACACTTGATTGCAAATTGTATTGCATTGTATACTTAGGACACCATTCAAAAGTTATTTTAGATGTATCAAGTAACTTAAGTAAGTGTCTTCTACAGAAAAAAAATGCAAAATGCTTCTCTTGTGTATTTCATATTCATATCCACGGACACCATTAGTAATATATTTGCAATTGCTTTTTAAATGAGGCACCAAAGCATAGATCAGCCAAATACACCTGTTATACTCTTCACAGCCACTGCAATCCTTCCTAATGTTAGGGCTTGTGATGCAATCTCTGTGTTTCTAATTCCTACTTAATTGAAAGATTGATTCTCAAGTAGTTTAATTCTCCCACTTGGAGCCTAGGTTTTATTTATACCCAGCGCTTCCTGCAGCGGAACCATGGAGAACTTCTGTGCTTTCATGGTGCACCTGTGAAATGAGGTGGATAAAGGTGGTACAAAAGAAAATTCATCCCGGCTAAGCTGAAGCACAGTTAATTCCTTCTGGAGGTGCCTTTCTCTTTCCATTGGCTACAGAAGGAGCCTGGACAGCTAGAATAGTCGAGATGCTTGCCTTTGGGTCACTGGCAGAGACCACTGGCAACCTTAACCTCAGAATTTGCAACATTCACATATTAATACAAGTAGATCAGTGGTACATCTATATTTTGGGCAAGGCTCCAAGGATTAGCTACTTGTGCTAAGGGTGCATCGAACAGGTCTGCAAGAAAAACAAGAAACCTAAATGGTGTGTGATGCTTTAGAGATTTGTCTGTATGTACTTGCAAAAAGACCAAGAAGTATTAAGTATATTTGTAGAAATCAGAAGTTGCATTTATAAAAATTAAAAGAAGTCCACTGGACAGATGATATTTCATAAGTCCACTAATTAAGCAATATCAAAAGCTATGAAGTTTTTCCAATTTCTTTGCTTTAATAAAGCTCTTTGGAGATAAATGTTTATGACTACGTAATAGAAAAGAATAATTTGAAATGGATGATAACTGCTGGAAAGGACGAGATGATGATATTGCAGCTCTTCAAATAAGCTTGTGATTTATTTCTCAGATATTACATCCATCTGGATGCAGTAGGGCCCTCCAGTAAAATAAAATGAAAATCACCATTCCTTCCTGTCCTTTTAAATAAAATTTTACTAAAACTTAACTTCTTGGGGATTTAATTCAATTGTACAAATCAGAGATTTATTTGCTTTTAAGCCATCTCTTCATCTTCTAGGAAGAAAGGCTAGATGATACTGTTCCACCCAGTGGCCATTCATCTCAGTGAGAACAGCCTATTTTGACTCCATTTTTTGTTTGTTTAAACTGAGCTGATAGTTTTTAAAAAGACTCTTCTGAAATCTCAGAGGTCATTTCTTTATGAGGTGGAAATTGCAATGTAAAGGAGAAATACTCATCTTATTAAAGTAGTGACGCCTTTGCTCTGTTCTTCCCATAAGTACTCCAGTTCTTCCCATAAGTATTCCAGTAGAAATACTTCTATTTCCTATAAAGGAAATGCCTGCCCTTTTCCCTTTTTTTTCTCTTTTATTTTTTTTTCCTTTTTCCCCTTTTTTTTCCTTTTTTTCCCTTTTTCTTTCTACACCTTTTGCTTTTACCACTCAGAAAGATAGCTAGGACAGCATGGAAAGAATTTTGATAAGCTTTAGATGTGATTTAAATGGGACATGTATAAGAAGTATAAGAAGAAAATTCATATTGAGAATTGATTTGTCTATAAATTAACTGCACGCTTCCATTTTTTCTTACAAGTACTTTGCACTGTTGAAAGGCTACAGCTAGGCCGACAGTAGCCCACAGTCTGCCTCAGTGAGCACAATGAACTTTGCCCAGGCAGTGTCCTGCCAGCATCCTTTAACTCTGCTTTTATCTTTCTCTGTCGGGAAGTGGGATAGGAAGGGAGGGAAGTGCTTTTCCCTGTCCCACGTGCTGCTGGAGCTCTTTGTCGAAACTCTCAGATAGCATGTGGTGAGAGAGGGAGTGTGTGACATAGGAGCTGACAGGGATCCACCTCACTCATTGCATGTAAACATCCTTTAAAAGAAGACTGTTTTTAACTGCTTGTGATCTAGACTGAAATACAAGTGGGAACCTGCGAATGGAAGGACTTACAACCCACTAGCAGTAATGTCTGAAACCTCTTATCCCCGTGGTAGTCTGATACATGCACTCAGGAAAAGGATGTACTCTTTCAAAACTAGCGGACAGTACTTCTCACCTTTTTGTATCTTAAAAAAGACAGTTTTGTATCTTAAAAAGATGTTGGTTTTTTTTTGTAAGCACAAAGCTCATCTCTCTATTTGCTGTCCTCCATATTCCGAAATTTCTAGGGCAATCAAGTCTCCCAAAGTATCTGAAAGACACCATTCACATTAATTAGAAGGTCAATAATCTACCTGCATGCATTTCTCTACCTTTGAAGGTTTGATGGTTTGAGCACCCTGCCATAAGTTCTTACGCAGAGTTTTATCACTTAGACCTAATGAACAATGGGATAGGTCTACGTCTGTGCCTACACTGCCTTGTGTTCATGCCTAACATATACAGTGTCAGGATTGTTATGGGTGTGCTACTCAAGAGGTCATAGAGTGGCACTGTTAAAAAAAAAGATGCTTGTGGGACCCAAGGCAAGGTGAGTGCACACTGTCCAGAGCTAAAAATCAGCCTCAGCTGAAGCTGACAGCAAAGGAGAGCGTTAGCAAGCTTGCTTGCTCAAGACATGAGCATCGAGGGCAGAAGAGAATGAAACTCAGAGAGTTATCATGAGGAGAAGAGTACCAAAGGGTAAAACTGAGTTGTTTATGCTGTCCTACTCCGAAATTGAAATTTATCATTTTCCCTAACTCCGCGCTGTCTGTAAGACCGTAAGGACCAACTTCCCATACCAGCAAAGTGAAATCACAGCCCTGCTTGGTTTAAGGACTTTTAAGAGGAAAATGCTCGCTAAAATAAAGCCAGCAGTAAGGAAAGGGAAACTTTGCAGTAACTAAAAATAAAGGCACGGCACTTCATGAGATTGGTTATTGCATCTGTCCAAAGTTTGGAATTCCAGACATCGGGGTCGGGAGGTCGCCCAAAGGTTACTTTTCTCCCAGTCAAGAACAAACACAGCGGAATTGCACAGCACCGTCTTTTCCCAGCCCACTTGAAGAGTTGCCAGAGCTGCTTTTGGACGTGTTCGCAAGTGACGCAAAATTCTATTCTTACACACAGACAGAATATACATCAGTCACTTAGCACAGAAGGAAACGATTAACATCAAAAGGGGTGGAGTGGAGAGGCTTTTTATATTACCAACTACTCTCATAAATTCAGCGCTAAGTGGAAGAATGTACTTGATTCATACGTGTCCTTTATCTCATGGAGAAGGCTAATACATCTCTTCGGTTCAGCAGTGCTATTGCAGAATTATATAAATAAAACCAACGTTTTGGCAGAAAACCAACATCCAAAGCAAATGCCCTTTTTCTTTTTTTTTCCCTCGAACCGCATTTCTATAATTTTGGTTTGTAATGCATAAGCAAACTTCTTTTTTTAGGAGTATTGAACTCCAGCTGAAATTCCCAAATGCTCCAAATAACATGGTAATATTTTAAATGCTTTACCATATTTAGCTTCAAATGACTGTCATTATTGAATAAAGTTAATTCTCTCAAATAATCCTAGTGAAAATATGAAGCCTACCCCAAAAGAACAAAAACACTGTGACTCAGATTGTTTGTATTTGTTTTATTTAGGACAATTTTGTGGGAATTTATGTTTTGCTCCCTTAACGTCTTTCGTGCGTTATTGCAGATGTTGTACGTAGACAGTTTACTTTTAGTAAGCCCTAGCAGAACCTAGTGTTTCCTTGAATGGCAAACAAAAAGCTCAACCCAAGACTTAATTAACTTCTTCTTATGTACCTTTTAAAGTTCATTTGATGCAGTTAAGGTTGCCCCTGAATGGTTGTTCTCTTGAATTCTTAAACCCATTAGGAGCAGCTATAGTACTACGTAAAAAGACACCTTTAAAATGACCCTGCAAGAAAAGCAAGTTCACCAAGTTGTGTATTTTCAGTGTCAGGTGCATTCATCCATGTCATCCACTCCAGACTTGGCTGCAGCACCTCACACAGAGTGGATCAGCTCCATGCGATGCGTGGGTCACAGAACTGGAGACAAGCTGCAGCAGCCAGGGAAAGCATCACTGACATACTGTGGTCCCTTCCCTGTGCATGACCTGGGGCTGACAAGGGGAAATATTGTTCACTCTCCCCATCATCTGACATGATGTGTTAACCCTGGGGCACCTGAGTAACAATCTGAGAAATCTGAAGAGGTTTAATATTTAGCATGCCATCTTTTCATGTTTTATGTAGAGGACACTTGCCCCACACTGTTCAGTGTCCTGTCCTTGATATGGATCCTCTAGAGTCATCCTGCTGTCCTGCAGCAGCATCCTCCCTCTGATACTGTAAGCTCCTTGAGCATGCAGGTCACAGAAGGATTTTTGCACACTGGGATTTTTAATAGGCTCCAAGGTATCTGAAGTATGAACCTTGGCAAGAATATACTGAGTCAGTTCTCTTCTCACCAGTTTTTCACCTTCAATGTAATTCAAGCAATGGATACTTTAGAGTAATGCTAAGGAAACATAAAAACTGAAACTAAATATTTTAGTGGCTTGACAAAGCAGAACTGATGTCTTTCATATGTAGCTGACTACAGCTTAAACACATAAGCCATACTGGTCTAACTTACGGAGTTTATGCAGAAGCTGTATAGATAAAACACTATGGAAAAACTGAAATATCATTCCATCTTTTTTATATTACAGTAACCTGAACAATTATATTTCTCCATGAGCTTTGAAATTGAACCAAGATCCAGCCTACGTTTACCTACAAAGTCTGGGTCATCTTTTCGAAATGACCTAGGTCACTAGAGTGCTTCAAACAGATTTATTGTAGTCTCTTAAATGGGCTTGAGATGTACGCAGATCTGCTTCTCGTTTACAGAGCAATGTTGTGTTGTTGCTGGATACAAACAACGGTGCCCTTCGCCGACTTTTGCTCTCGCCAGATGATCAGGAGTCTCCGAAGAGAACGTCTTGGTGGAGCAGCAAGGAGGAGACGGTGAGGAGTAACACCTGCCTCTATTATACTGTTTTTGTTGGATATCAAAACTCAGTATTGGAAAAACTGCTCCAGGATTGTTTTGCTTTTACTGTTTGTGGGGGCACAAGCACTTAATTGTTTACACTTCTGTATGTTTAAATGCCTTCGATGGAAAACAGCATTGTTATGGAGTAGTGACATCAAAGATATAAATAAGTCATATTGTCTGTGGATATGTATCTTTAAAATCTCCCTCTTTGGAACTAGAGCTGGGAATAACAGAACATTTTGTTACAAGGGATTATGTCCAAAATAATGAACTAAATTATGATGCAATTATAGGACTTGGGACAAGACAGGCTAGATAGCATTTTGAAAGGTAATTAATGGAGTGAGTTATTCCAAGTGAAGGAAGAATGGAGTACACTTTGAGAGGAGTCAGGGAAACTCACTGGGACTAATCTAACAAATCCTAATTGCTGTATGACGTGTTTTGTACAGAGCAGCTACAAGATGTGCCGAGAGTTTTCACACAAAAACTGGCTGGTGTTCTACAAAGAAGAAGGGTGAGATTTAAATTATATGCTTGTATTATACTGATTTATAATGGATCACCTCATATACATATCTATCTAATTATTCTTTTCTTGGCTTCTAATTTTACAGGAACCGTCTTATCGTGCTGGACGTATTAGAGGGCCAAACTCACACCATCTCACTTCCAATCAATCTGAAATCTGTCTTCCTCGTGGCTGAAGACCGGTGGCTCTTGGTGGAAAATGGAACAAATAAGTTAGTTAAACCCGATTTTCTTGATGCATTATGTCTTGTTCATGTCTGGTTTATGTTCAGGAGTTTTGCTCCTGGTCTCAGAGTTGTTTCTTCAATTTGTAAGAATAACTAGACTTAAACAGTTGGTGTTTTACTTGGTAAAAGTGCAGATAGACTAGTAGAGCAGGAAACCTACAGGACATGCCTGCATGCACACCTCTGAAAATCTAGGCTAGATTTAACTGTATGCATGTTTTACTGACGTGGTGTCGATCTTTAGCAATTAGATTGTTGGTGGATTTGGCTTTGGAAATACAGCCACATAGTCCAGAGTTAGTGCCTACTTGCTTTACTTCCTAGTCACATGAAAGAAATATTACTCCTCTTTCTTAAATTTATATAAATGCACAGCAGATAAAAGTATGTAAATACTTACCAGAAGATAAATCTGCCTCTGGTTGGCTTACCCTCTCCTGTCTCACATGCGTTTGGTAAATCATAGTTTTAGAAAAAGGTGTTGATAACCTTGTTTACATGAATGTAGAATCTTTCTGCTGTTTCAGAAAATAAAAGTCCTTGTTTAGAGTTACAAGTTTAATCCGGAATTACTATAAATGTGTATCCTTTACAGGAAATTTCTTTTAACCAAGCGTGCTCATATGGAGGCTGAAGACAGTGAGGTTTGCCAGCTGTATGCATTGAATGAAGAGCCAGCTGACATGGGATTTGGCTTAACAACGGGTATTGAATGCAAGCTTGGCTTGTTCTTTTTTTTTTTTTTTTTTTAATCATTTCTGTGTTTGCAGCTGCACAAACAAGGCTCTTTGCTTTAAAGGTCTGGGTAACCTTCTCTCAGATTCTCTTTTTGTCCTACCCTTATCGTGCTTGGTTAATAATAACTTTCCAAAAAGCATGGTAAATTCCATGCTTAAACTTCAGGTTGTTTGAGTAAAGCATTTAAGACCTTCAGTCATGGACTTTTAGGAAATGTACAAGCATAGAAAATGGAAAACGAAAAAAGATGACTAGGCAGTTATTAGCACATAGAAGGGACCAAATATATTGATGAGCCCAATCTGTATACTGTTGTAAATCTATTACACATGCTCAGATGAGCTAGAAAACATTGTCTAGCACTTTTTGAAAATACAAAGACTTCCTGTTAAAACCTAACAGAAGTCACTGATCATAAAGATCTGCAGAAAGTGTGCACCATCACACCTATGTTAAAAGATAGGAGGAATTTGCTCCGTAGAATTCCCAGATGCTGCTAGGAAATGAAGCATGTCTTATGGTACAGAAGAAGGCAAAAATCCCCAGTGGTCATCATTCTGCTTGTCTGCAGATCTGGTGATACTTTCAACCCTGAGCACCTGATCAAGGTGCACAAAATCTTTAGTTTGCCTTGTTTAATAGCACTAGAAGTATGTGTGCATCCCACCTGACAGTTTATAGGCTTTGACCTGTCTCCAGTGTGTCTGAGAGAGATAGAGGAAAAAAAATAAAGACATCGCTGTATTTTTGTGTTAAAGAGGGAGAAATTTCTTCCTGATCCTTGAGGCTAGCTTAAGTCTGAAGAATGAGATTAGCGTGGTATAAACATGATAGAAGCAAATATTATTGGCAAGCAACGAATAAGGCTTATTTTTTACATAAACAGCAACAAATTGGATACCAAGTAGTCTTATCACAGCTTAAATATCTAGGATCCTTTTTATCTTTTGTATAGTTTACTCTATCAAATTATCAAGCTCCATCAGAGCACAGTAGTTTCCTTCCTCTTACTGCCTTATTTAGAAACCATTATAGAGTATCATTCCTTAGATGGGTAGAAGCCTTACTACAATTTCCAGTCTCAAAGTATTTGTGCACAGTGTATTGCTGCATGCTTTTTGTGCCTTATTTATCCTTTGTTATGTTATTTTTCTAATATGAAAGGCTATTATATCCCCTCTCCACTTTTTTTCCTACTCATCCAGCAAACCCAGAATGTATTATCTTCAGCCTGTTGTCATTGTGTCTCTACCTGTGGCAGGAGAGCTAAGAAAAGGTAGACCAGTGTGGGTTTTCCACTGACCCACATTCATTCATCCTGTGAGGGAGGAAAGATTTTCTCCTGCTGCTGGATGAAGGAGATGCTGCAGAACTACAGATCAGGGGTTCTGACTGTTTGTAATATAAGGCAAGGTAAAGGGCTGTTATAGTTGCACAGAATAAAATTTAGTTTTCCTTAGCTTGAAGAAAAAGAAAACTAGACCATTATTTACCAGAAAAGTGTTACTAATAGCATTATTTAAAGTGAAAAGACAAAAAGATGGCCACCAAGAAATGTCACATTGACAAATACCTGTACAAACCTACATTTTGCCTTTTTGTGCACATGCATTAGAACAACCTTTAATGAGATCACATGCTGTTATATGCCATAGACTTTGTGTCTCATTTGTGCAATAGAGGGCAAAATTAAGTGGTATAAGCAAATACAAAACTAATTATTTCCTGATTTTAAGTGTTTGACTTCACAAAAATAACATTATTTCCTGACTTTTTTTTTCTTTTTTATAGTATAGTATAATCAAATCTTCAGCTTGTTAGTAAGTTTATCCTCAAAGTAGCAGCAATGATTAGTGCTCAGCACTCATGTAGTTAATATTGTTTTCTATTGCACATCTGGATTAAATGACTTTCATTTTGTTTAATTTCCCTGTTTAGCATCAGAACTGAGTGTGCCGCATGCAGTTTCAAGTGACCAGCTATCTTCAGAAAACCTCAGTGCAGCTGTTGGACAAAAGATCAGCTCCCCCAACAGGATTTTCTCAGATGAACATAATTACGCTACTATTGTTATTGGTTTCCCAGACCTCTTGGTAAATACTCAGCATTATTACACAATGATGTAATATGATCTCATTTATTCTGTAACCAGTTAAATACCTGTTTACCAAATGATAGAGAAGAAGGGAATGACAGTAAATGGTACGTTCATGGTAAATCATTTGTTAGGACAGTCTAATCTAAAAGGGTTTCATTGGAGTTTGAAATAATAAAACTGGGCAAGATATTGTGTACCACAGACAAAATTCACTGTAGGTAAGCTGCAGGTGGTGCTTCTAGAAGACTATCTTATAAATTGTGTTTGTTTTTTTGTTTGTTTTTAAATATAACCACTGAGAAAAATGATATCAGCATCATTTTGAACTGTTCAATATGAACTTTTTGTTCAGTGTCCAGCAGCTAGCAAACCTCTAGATTTAAGAAAAAGAAAAAGATGCAGAAAATGGTAACAAAACTGCCCACAATCACTATTTAATGAAATGGCTAAGTATAAATACCACATGTAATCCTGCCCACTTTGTATCCAAAAGTTTTGTGACACACATAGAAAAGGACCAGAAAAGAAAGTGAAACTTAATGGTGCAATAATTAATGCTGTTGCAAGGATTGGAGGTAAACACAGGGAAGATAACAGTGGTATGTTTAATACTTACATTTACTGTCTGTTGAAATATATAAGAGGTGATGTGTTTAATAGATTGGGCCAAATTAGAAAATTTAGCTCTTAATGGGCATGAATTTTGGGAAAAGCCAAATAATAGAAGAAAATACTTTGAAACCCAGGAAGGTTCAAAAATATGTCTTTGATAATAAAACATACCCTGTGACTTAGCAGTTTGCTTTTGAGTTTTACCTGATTTGGATTTCTATTATTATGAGAATGAATACACTAGCTTTTCATAATATGAAAAGTATATTCATTATTATATATTGTAATCATATAACCATTATAAATAGATGCAAGGGACAACAGATGCAGGACAAGGGAGATAGTCTGGAGGAGGGAGTGCTAGAGGTGCTACACACCTGTGTACTAATACTGGTGACAAAACACTTTGTTCTCCTTGATTTAGACTAGGGGCCTGTCTTTCCTTACATGAACATGTAAATGTGAATGCAAGGAGGGTGGAACAACTCTTCTGATTCAGACCTCTAAGCTCAGGTGTTAGTGGTATAGGAGTTTATCACATATGAGCAAGGTATCTAAGCTCTTATTCATAGAAGTAGTTCTCAGCTGACCAAATGTAGAAGCCTTCTTCAAGATCAGGTGATTCGCTCTCTAGGCTCTGCTGACTGTAGAGAAAGATGAAGCACGGTTTGGATATGTGCACCCCTACACTTTTGTCTTTAAACCTGGACCAAATCATAGCCTCAATGTCTACCTTTAAATTTATTAACTGAAGTATGTTTGCATTTATCTACACTAGTGAAAACCTAGGTTATGGTAAAAGTTCATTTTAGAGTTTGCTTCCAGATTAGTGTTTTTTTAGTGTTCCTGGTTCAATGATTAAAAAAAAAAAAAAAAGAAGTTGATTCAACTTTAGATCTTCAAAGAGTCTGACTTCTTAAAGCTTGTATAGACCTACTGTTTTTTCACTCCTTACAAGAGTTTTTAATAACAAAATAATCCAGGTTTTTTTCTTGTCATATCAGGTAACCACTGTAGCTGCATTTGATCTGAAATTAGACAGAAAGTCGACCTTACTAAGGAATATTTTTTCTTAGGCTCAATTATAGTAACTATTTTTTTCAGTAGAATTTTTTTTCTTCTCTCTTGCAGTCTCCCAGTGAAGTGTACAGCTGGAAAAGAAACTCCTCTCTGAGTCGCAATGCTTCTTCCTTCTGATTCATTTTATTATGGAGCCCGGAGGAAAAGAGGAGCTGCAAAACAAACCAATTGTATAACTTTATTGGCTTCTAATCAAATAGTCAGAATTTTACCACCTGGAGATGTGCCTTTGAAAGACATTTACCCAAAAGGTAAGAGGTTCATATACTTGTGCTGCAATAACTGTACACACTTGTTTTTGTTTTGTAAAACTGCAATCACTTGTGAATTTTTACAAAATGTTTTCAAAGAATTACAGAGCAAGTATTTGAGGAGAAATAAGAGTATTTGCACTCATTTTGCCAATTTTAAAGTGTATTTGTATCTTATTAACATGCCGAACTGTACCTCTGAGGTATTAAACAGGCTACCTACACTGTGAATATGTCAGCAGATGGGTTTTCATTTTGCCCACACTGGGAACCATCTACAGGAATGTGATTGTTCCAGTTCAGCAATCAGCTTTGCAACCTTTGCTCGGATGCACAATTGTAAGACATGCCATATTTGTCAAACCAATCATCCATCTCGCTCAGCTTGAAGACAGACCCTGGCTCTGTTTCTAGCAGGGCCAGCAGGAAAGGTTATTTAGAGAATGCATGTGAGCCAGGCACTTTTGTTTCTTTCCTTTCATACTTGAGATCTCACCATTCATTGTTGTTTTATTAGGGATGCAGCAGAGTACATCCCTGCCTTACCCTCTAAATCTTCTTTTATGGACCCATTGTGCACAAATTTGTCTGGTCCCTTTTTGAACTTGTGTGTCTCCACAGCAAATTCGCAAGTTCACTACTCTCTGTCATGAACCGGTCTCCTAACAAGGTTTATCAAGTGCTTCACATTCTAGCATGGCAGGGTTGGGTGAATAAAAAGTCTGCATTCATCTTGAACATCACCTACATGACTGTAAACTGCAGTTGCACCTACCTTTTCTCCAATCTGAAGAGACCCATTTTTTTTTTACTTCTCATGTACAAGTCAATGAGCAACATTCACATATAGCAAAGCCATCACTTATAAGACAGGTATAGAGTACAGACCTTCAGACTTTTTTGTGCTGCCACAAGTTTTCTGTTACCATTGTATCTTTAGCTTATTCAGCCAATACCTAAATATCTGCTGATTAGTGCTAAGTAACAGTATTCATGAGTTTTGCAAAGGTCTCCAAGGGAAAATCACTATCAAAAAAGAAACCCCCAAACCATTTCTATATGGTAGAAGGGCAGATTTTTTGAATACATCAGTGCAAGAATCTATTCCTGCTTTGTACTATGTGAACTCTCTCTCCCAGAATAAATGCTTTATTCCAAATTAACTTGCTTTTCCAAAATAAATGATCTAACATATCTGCTCTCACTTAACAAAGATTAACTTCCCTGTGTAGAGAAACCCTTTTATTTATTGTTTTAAAAGAGTAGAAAAGTAATTGTCTGCAAACATTTATTTGAATCATAGAATCATAGAATATCCCAAGTTGGAAGGGAGACACAGGGATCATCATCTCCAGCTCCTGGCGCCACACAGGACCACCCAAAAATCAAACCATATTTCTGAGATCATTGTCCAAAGGCATCTTGAACTCCAGCAGGCTTGATGCCGTGACCACTTCCCTGGCGAACCCATTCCAGTGCTTGACTGCCCTTTCAGTAAAGAACATTTTCCTAATCTGAACCTCCCCTGATGCATCTTCATGCTGTTCCCTCGGGTCCTCACACTGGGCACCAGAGAGCAGAGCTCAGCACCTCCGCTCCCCTCATGAGGAAGCTGCAGGCCGCCATGAGGCCTCTCCTCAGCCTCTTCTTCTTAGGTGGAACAGTCCCAGTGATTTCAGCTGCTCCTCACACATCTTGCCCTCCAGATCCTTCATCATCTTTGTTGCCCTCCTTTGGACACTCTTTAATAGTTTTATGTTCTTCCTACATTGTGGCACCCAAAACCACACACAATACTCAAGGTGAAGGCTGCACCAGCACAGAGCAGAGCAGAACAATCCCTTCCCTTGACCAGTTAGCAATGCTGTGCTTGGTGCACCCCAGAATATGGTTGACCCTCCTGGCTGCCAAGGCACCCTGTCGGCTCATGTTCAACTTTCCATCAATCAGAACCCCCTTGTTCCTTTCCATGGGGCTGCTCTCCAGCATCTCATCCCCCAGTCTGTGTGTATGTCCCCGGTTGCCCCTTCCAGGTGCAGAATCTGGCACTTGTTCTTAAATTTCATGCAGTTGGAGATTTTCCATCCATCTGATGTGTCAAGATTTCTCTGCAAATCCTTACTTAGTATAAACTTGCTTAGTGTATCTCCAAGTCCTGCCTTCAGGTCATTTATGAAAACATTGAAAAGAACTGGCCCCAAAATGGAGCCTTTGAAATTTGGGACAATATTTGCCAGTTTCCAGTTGACAGGGATCTCTCCAGATTCCCAAAACTGTTGAAAATGAATCAAGAGAGGTCTTGTGATGACATCAGCCAGCTCTTTGAGTACCCTGGGATGAATCCCATTGGGCCCCATAGAAGTTTGCATCCAGATGGAGCAGCAAATCCTGCACAAGGTCAGAGTTAACTGGGAGTTTATTGTTTCCACAGTCATGGTCCTTCAGCTCAGGATTCTGGGGGTCCCAGGACCCAGCATCAATGCTGAAGACAGAGGCAAAGAAAGCATTAAATGCTTCTGCTTTGTCTGTGTCCCTACTTGCGTGGTGAGCATCCTCATTATATAATGGACCAATGTTATCTCTTGTCCTCCTTTTGCTGTTAACGTATTTTTAAAAGCCTTTTTTATTTTTCCCCACAATAATGGCTGGCTTCAACTCTAATTGAGCTTTGTCTGCACAAATTTTCACTCTCCAATGGCAAACAGCATCTCTGTAGTCCACCCATCTCACCCAACTTCGCTTCCAATAGTCTTTCTTTATCTGTCTAAGCTCTAGAAGTTCTAGAGAAGCAGTCCAAGTCTTTTAGTTTTTGGCTAAAAAAGCAAAGACAAAGATATAAACAGGACAGAAAATTAAAGTTGCCTACATTTGCAAAGAAAAGGTTAGCTTTTAAAAACTTTAGAATTTACTTAAAATGTTAGTTATAGTTAGCATGACAGTCTTGGAACTAATCTCATCACACTTTATAAAGTACTGAAGGATCAGACTGAGTCATTTTTTTTAAGGCCTTCACATGTAAAAACAACAACAATAAAACCTGATGTGGATGGTAGAAAAGTTCAGAAGTTAAATTTTCTGAGCTTTTGTTCAATTAGTTTATTAATTTGAGGGTGAGGGAGAGATTCAGTGTTTCCAAATGAGAAGCTGTAATTGACACCATCATTTTTAAGTCTTTTAAGTTGCTGTTGTAAATTAGCACTTTATAACACTGGATAAATATAATTAAAAAACAGAGGATGTCCTTTTTGAAGACTGGATATGAATGAACTGAACAGGTTCTCTGTCTGAGAATTGGCTTCTGTGTGGCTGAACAATTTCGTGTATATCAGCTGAACAAGATGTTAACTTTTTTTCCTCAACTGTGGTGTGATATATGCTTATGAATAGTGATTGATGCCTTTAGATTTATAGACATTTTAATGCATTATAGGTAGTGAAGTGCTTTATGGCAATTTGAGTTGAAAGATTCAAGGCCATCTTGAAGATTATTATCATTGATTTTTCTTTTCTAAATCATGTTTGAATTTATGAATTGCCAAAATTGATCTTAACTGAATCATGTTTAATATGACCTTACTGATACAATTAAATTAGACCCAAGCAAGACTCTAGGTATTCTATTCGATCACCTTTTTTTCAAGATTTCAGACATTTTCCATTTATCTGTTAATGGTCATTTTTTTCTAGTGGAAAGGAAGCTATACATGGAGTCCTACAGAGATCTGTGCTGCTCAGTGTAGTCATGAAAAAAAAAAAAATAATAAAAATGAATGAACAATGAGGTGATAATGTTTGCTGATGGTACTGGTTATTATTCACAGAATAAAGAATTATGGAGGATTACAGGACATGCGATGCTGACCGTGCAATAAAAATGGCAGATGAAATTCAGTGTAGATAAGTATAATGTATGTGAAGGAAGAAAAGAAGTCTAAAATCTACGTCTAAAATGATGGGCTGATCATTACCTGTGAAATGAGCAGATCGTTGTATCTTGGGAGCATGATTTTGGAGTCATGATACTTTTATTAAAATAGTCCAAATCTCAGTAGCAGTCAAAAAAGCAAATCAAATACTGAGAATTATTAGGGGAGGAACAGAGGCAAAAAAAAAAAATTGCGCTGTTGTGTAAATCTATACATTCTTAATTGTGTACGGTTGTGGTCCTCCATCTCAAGATGGGTGATACCTGAAATGGAAAAAGTTCAGAAAAGGGCAGAAAAGACCAAAATTGCATCAGACAAATCTCCTGAATTTTGAGACAGGACAATAAAGAGGCATATGGTGGAGTTCTACAAGAACATGTATGGCATGGAGATGTGGAAGAATGAATAATTTTTACACTTGGTACCAGAGTTAGCAGGCAGACACTGATAGTAGAAACTTCATCAAAGCAAACGAAAAGTGTTGGTTCTTCACAGAGTAGGTAATCAACCTGTGAAACCATTTGCCAAAGGATGTTGTGAATGCTGAAACATGGATTCATGGGAAAACTCATGGTATGTTACTAAGAAGACATAAAAATAGAGACAACACATCCAGCTCAAGAAGCCCCTGAATTGGAACTGGTTGGTGACTTGAGGAAAATCACCTATGTGTGCTTGCCCGTGGTTCTTACTCTTTTCAAGCATCTAGCTACACTGGAGTCAGGACACTAGATTGGAGGGACCTAGGATTGCTGTTGTTACGGCATGAATCCAAAATCTTTCCAAGAAAAAAGGGGTAACAGAAAGGAGACGTGCATTCATGTGCTCTCTTGGAAGGTGAGATTATTAGGTACTAGTCCTTACTGTGACTATTTGATATTTGCAGCCCCCTCTGCTGGGCTACTGTTTCTTCTGGAGTTTGCCCCTCACCGGTTGACAGAATATTTAGTTGAGCGTACATCTAACTGCTACCAGTAGCTGCTTAACATACGGTCTGGGACCCTTGGAGGTTCTGTGTTGCTTAATCCTGAATTGTGCCACACAATTCATGGGGAGAACTTCAGACGTTCGATGATTTTCCTGTGCTGGTGTTTCTGCTTTGGAAACCTGTGGCTATTTACCTACAGGAGTTGTGTAAGGCTTTGCACATAAACCTCTGTATCCTTTCATAGGAGATGACACAGTGAAACAAAGGCGTCCTACCACACAAAACTGAGCATGTGGCAGTCCCTTGAAATTCTTGCATTAATGTTGCCTTTGAGAAGTTGTTCTGTATTCTGGCTTCAGCTTGCTTCTCTGTCAGGCTTTCTTTCTCATCTTCTTGGATAACTGGTCAGTTCTGGCACACGGCCTTCCATTTCTATTAATAATTCAAAGTGCTCAGCCAAACTCTGGTGCACTCCAATCTGTATTACCAAAACTGTTCTAGGAATAACAAGCAAAGAAATCATTTCCTTTATGTTTTATCGGAACAGTAAACTAGGGTAATTGTTATGTTTGAAAAGAAACCATAACAAGTAATAATTTCCCCAAAGACTGCCAAATAGATGTATGGCCACAAAATGTAAACTTAGACAAGAGTTCATGGCAGAATCCAACAACTAAGAATTAATGTTTATTCTAAAAACAAGGCTATAGAAATGAGGGCTTCTTGAGAGCAAATATTTACTTGGATTCTCAGCTCTTCCCATATATGAATATAAAATAACAATCCTGTTACTGAGCGTGTATCTCTACTAGTGTGACAGTAACTGGAATGAAATAATACAACACACAATTACAGGAATAACCTCAGCACGTCATCTGGCCTACCTATTTGTAGAGGAACAGGATATTACATGTTTAGACTCTTCTTGACTAATGTTTTTCTAGCATTTATCTTAAAAACTTAATTTGAAAGAGATTCTAAAGCTTCCCTGACTGGCCTATTGCAATGCTTCACCCTCCTTGGATAATAAAGGCTTTACCTAGTATCCCAGCCTGTTTTGCTGTAAATGAATCTGAATACTTCATGGCACCTCCGCTCAATCAGCATAATACTTCTCCCTTTATAAGAATATTTAAGATATTATGGTACATGTGTTTTATTTCCTGTAATCTTCTCTTTGGGAGCCAAAAATAAAAGTAATTCCTTAAATTTGTCCTTACAGCCCATCTGTGCTAACCTCTTTGTCACCCCTGGGTCTTGTGTGTCTACATTTTAATTTGATGAGCTGGGCATAACTATTTTACTCCCTCCGTGTTCATCAGGAGGGAAGAAAATTGCATTTATTTAGATCTAATGTTCATATTATTATAAAGCCTGTGTTTTGTTCTCATGCTCTGGCAGCATCATAGCATCTATGTACTATGTACGTTGTTCATCATAGATCTTTGACTGCAGTTTAGGGGCCTGGGTTGAATTTAAACATTTAATTACCTTTTCTTCAGCTTCATAATCTTCAATCCTTTAACTTGCAGTTTGATTGTGATTTATGTTCTCTCTCTAATTTATTATGTTATTCTTTAATTCTTGTCCTATAGTTCTACCTTTTCCAGTTAGCATATCTACATGTTCTAGATCTTCACTGGAATTTTTAAATTGTATCTTATTCTCCATTACCACCCAAAAAGAGAGCACATTTTTTAAAAATGACAAAATCTAGACAAAATGCTCTAGACAGAATGCTCTGTGGCCTACAAATATATATTTTATCAGATTTTTTCTCTACTTTCAATGTGTTTTATATTTACATTTTTACAAAATGTGAGTAAATTCAGCAGATAAACTACTGTAAATGTGCATACTGTAGATACATAGGTATTGTATATATGCATGATGTGCTCCTGTGGGTTGTTCTTTATACTCATTTGAATGATAGGTCCCCTTATATCTCTGATTTTACTGGTTTTTGTGTGTGCTGTATGCAAGCACCAACACGTCTGCAGGTAACATCAGCTCTCCTTCATTTCAAGGAGCTGAAAGGTATGTTGTTTCAGAAGGAAATCTAGACTTGCTTTCATCTAGTGACAATAATATTTTGTACCCATGCCATGCAGTGTAATTCAGTCTTGTGGTTTCTGTTCTGAAAAACTTTAGTTACTTAATTTACTCCAGGTAGATGAAAGCCAGCTTTAACTGGAAGCCACTTCTGAGCCCAGGAAGAGTGTACTCACATGTTTGTAAGAACCATCATAGGCAAGCAAGCACACACATTTGTTTCTGAGAGAGAAACCATAGTGTTATCTATACTCTCTCAGAAATGGAATAGTAAATGCCTGATAGTCTAGAGTTGTTGACTGTGAACTTATAAAACCTTTACATATTGAGAATCTAGCTGATTCAATTTCAGGCAGCAACATTTAGTTTAATATTATTGAGAAATTTTCAAGTGAGAATTAAAAGTACAATGTTTTGAAATGTTCCTCAATATGCTTTCTGAGACAGATGTACAGCTGACATTATCTTCAGTGACAGATAAAAGCTGTGAATTAAGGATTGCAGTAATGCCTGATTAGTGCTTTTGTGAGTAGGACTATATTTATGTGTAATTTTTACATTTGCTATACAAATACATTGTTCTTTCATAATTTGCCTGTCTAGATGCTCACTATCATAACAGTAACATGGCTCGGTGTTTGCAAGTCATAATCCTATGTTGAATGTAAAAGTTTATCATTTTCTGACAGGTACTGTATAATGAAATGCCTAAACTTAATCTACTAAATGCAAATGCAATAACCAGTTAATCATGCAGCAGGAAAATAACATTTGTTTGTTTTCAGATGTCACTCCTCCACAAGCTGCTGGATACTTAGAAGTAACAGATCTTAACTCAAAGAAAATCAAATACATTGCTATTCCGAGGTAAGTTATTTTATTGATTAGAGAAGCCTGTGCCTTACAGGAAGATTAAACAGAATTTAGTCTGCCATATTACTTCAGAACAAGCAATTATTTCTTGTGATGTGGAAGGTGAAAGAAATTCACACGTACCTTGTAAAATAATGCAACTATTGCAGCATATTTTTGTCAAAAGTTTTCTGTTTTCTACATGATACCAATGAAAATGTGACAGTTCATTAGTAAATATGAAAAGCAGCTTTATCTTCAGATTTCAATTCCATACCCTTTGCTTATTACCTGTCTTCACCCACTTTATCTCCTACCCTTTTTCATCTTGTTTTGCTATTTTCTAGCTTTTTTTTCCTTTCCTTTTTTTTTTTTTTTTTTTTTTTTTAATCTTTCAGGTCTAACAGGCAGAATGATCCAGTACTAGGTGTCAGTAAACCAGGAATCAAGGTCCAATATAAAGTTGACCTGGAAAATAACTTGAGCTTGTTTATGTTTTAGATCTTCTTTTTGAACATACATTCTTTCATGTACAACTATCTTGCATTGTAAACAAGTGTCTTGTACAATACATACAGGTAGCCAAAAGATACGGTTTCTGTATAGTTTTAATATCTGTCTCTCACCATTATAGAGCATATTTGCAAGTATTTTGCAAGTTGTCATTTTCAACTATAGTGAAGCTTTTTGTTTTAAATGGCATTCTTAAATGCCCATGTTTAAAGAAAACATGAAAACCACGTCAGAGAAATAGTAGAAAATCACACCTTTTTTCCACACTGAGACGTTATTGGAAAGTACAAAACTAAACTTCAACATCATGACCCTTAACCTTGTATGAGGATTTAAGCTCCTTATTACAAAATAAATCTGAGCAGAATTTCAGATTAAAAAAATGTACTCTATTAGGAACAGATAAGTAAAGTGACTTCATATAGATGAATAATTCTAAGCTAAAACCTAAAAACCTTTCCTCCTGGCATAGTTATCCTGGTCAAATGCTAAGGTAACTCTTCTTCAGTTGAATTAGTTCATGATAATTTCAGTCTTCGAGGTGTATAAGTAACTGTTTTCTTGCTTGTCTAAATTATGAATTGTAGTATTAATTAATGGAAGTTGCAAGTTATTATGTGTGTGACTACTAGTACTGAAAAAGTGCAAACAATCTTTCCTACTTTAACCAATTTCCTTTCCTGTTATGTAGCTATTAGACCCCCATTTCAGCAGTAAGTTTTCGCCTGTCAGTTGACTGTTTGTAACAGTGCTAAGATTCTCTGCACATAAAACTGTGCCATCTTTAAATGAGTGTTTGAATTTTCTTCTCTCATTAAAGCACTTGTTAAAGCTCTAGTTAAAGAGAGGTATTAGTTGGTGCAGAGATATTTTCCTTAGTGCCTAGGTCATGTTCTTTCCTGTATCTTTTTTAGTTTTGTATTTTTCTATAACACATTTTTAATTTTCTCATGTTCTTTGTAGTTTTTTGTAAAGACTAACTTTCTTCAGATAGATGAAATACAACAGTGGACTAGGCAATGTGTTCCCTTTTGGCCTGGTTTTTTACACTGCTTTTGTGAATAGGTATCTATCCCAGTCATATCCAATTTCAGTAGGTGGAATCTTTCATATAAAAGATCTGCAGGGCTTAGTTAGGGTCTGTCATGGAGTGAGGGTACTATTTCATGTAATTGCACCTTAACTAAAGGAATGTTCACCCTATTTTTAATTGCAACTTCAAGATTGATCACACTCTCTCTTGTTTTTCAGCTCAGGATCTCTTTCTCCATATACATCTTGGCTGTCTAAGATCTCAGATGCTGATGCCCTGTTGGCACCTCTGGGCAAAGTAGGCTTGGTTAGTGTGGACATGGGAGGTGGTGTGAGGCTTTGGGAGACAGGACTCGACAGCCTCCAGCGCTCGCTGCAGGACTGGAGGAACATGATCGGACAAGAGGATGGTCGACCTGTGCAGGTAGGTGTTCACAAAGCTGAAGTGAAAAACATCTAATAAAATGATATAAACAAGTTTTCAGTCGTGAGAGGGGTCAAGGGAGTGCAGTGTAGAAAAACATTAAGTAGAAATATGCCTGTAAGAAAAACTGAATAGATGTCTTCACTGAAAAAAAAAAGCAACCCACACAATAGCTAATTAGAAAGCTTATTTGTGACCCCTGTAATTATGGTTGCTGAAATTCTCTTTGTCTTGCAGTGTTTGTATTTTTGCCAAATTCCAGTACATTTACATGTAAATTAATTCTTTATCTCATGCTGATTTTTAACTGCAACTTTCGGAATAGTGAAATTAATGTTTAAGGGAAGCATATACTTTTCAAGAGTTCAAATAGTTGGGAAAAAAAACAACATTGCATTCATACTTTAAAGAAGTACTTTAAAGAAGAGCCTTGAAACATAGATGGAAAGATGCCTTGAGTTCAGAGTATTGCCGCTGGCAGATTTTGAAAATTGGTAGAAGGGGTAGAAGAGTTACAAGGATTTCGGTATGAATATTTAGGTAGATATTGAAAATACACTGCATGTACATGTATGCTGTGTGTGCATGTATACATGCACATTAATGTACTGCCTAATGTGTAGGATCACCATTGCTACACAAAGAGAAAATTCAGGGCTTTTCAATTACATCTTTAATTTCTGTTAGTGACTGGGAAGGGTATCATTCTTACTTTGAGAACTAGAGTGTGCTTTAGGGAGGGCTTTCCTATTTTTGGCTAAGGAGATCCTTTATCTACAACTGGGATTATTTCTGTTTCATAAATGTCTATAGTCACTTTCACTGTACATTAACATGGAATGTTAATGGAATTAATGGAATGGAATAAAATGGAATTAATCATCTCTAAATTAATCTCTCTATACCATTGTTTACAAGGTATCAAGCTATCCCAAGTGTGAATGAGATTTGTTAGTCAGAAAACAGCTCTTCTTTCACTTTCTTTTCCCACACTGAGCTCCCTTTCTACAGGATGTTCTGCAGTTATAGAAGCTTGTGCAAGAGCTGGCGTGTTCTTGTTATTGGACATCAGCAAATGTCTCTTGTAAAAGTCACGAGAAAAGGAAACTGTTATCCAGAAGCACATTTGTGTGGTTGCTTGTTGCTTTATAAGTGTGTTTTTTTTATTGCCTATGTAGTAGCGTTAGCACCATCTTATGGTCAGATATAATCAGTTTACACCAGCCCAATTTGGCCTGACTGATAAAGTTGGCTAGTAGAAATGAAAAGATAGGAGGAAAAATTAAGAGCTTTACTTGTTTTTGATATTTTTTTTTCTCTTTTTTTTTTTTTGAGTAACAGTTGTAATCTTATCCAACAGTATTATTGTACTGTCAATCATAGCCAACTAAATACTAGAGAATATAGGCTTGGAAAGTTACGTGTCATAAGAAAATTTTAAGTTATTTAGCTAGTAATGTCAAGTAATCATTTTACAAAAAGCCTCAGAGGTTTTCCTGCAGTCATAAAGCAATCCAGATTTGTAGTAGGATTTCTCTCTCCTGACAGTCTGTATTTGGTAGCTACAGGGTAAAGTCTTCTTAGCATATCTGTCTTCTTCCCTCTGTAAATACAGGATATATATAGCTCAAGTGGGTGGTTTGTCAGAATTCAAAAAGGCATATTATTTGATTTGAACTAAAGGGCTGAAACAAGCCTTCTATATGCTCTTTGAACTTACACAATTATCACTTCTGTTTCTTTACTGTTGACACTTTGCTTTAAGTGGAAAGATAATGAGACCTAAGAAACTTTTTACCAAGGCGTTTCAGAGCAATAAGCAATAAATTCTTACCTTTTATTTTATGCACTTCTCTGATAAGATAATAGGTATGTAGTTGTTGTGGAAACAACACTTTGCTATTTGGAGATGAAGGCTTTCCCTCTTAAGTCCATTTTTCAATGGAATGAAATAGAAGCAGTACTTGACATAGAAGCAGTACTTTATTGAAGCATTCATCTCTAGAAATGAAAGGATACTGTTAGCTTGAAAATATATTCACGTAGATTCCCTCTGTAAGGTAAGCTTAGCAAGAACTCAAGTGTCTCCTGTTCTAGTGACAATTACTTTACTAAGAAAGCTGCAACTAAATATTTCCTGATCCTCATGTTTACAGAATCAAGGTGTTTTGCATCTGCATACAGCTGCAGCTCCATTCATTCAAGAGTATGAAAATCACGTTCTGTATAGTGTTTCATGCTCAGATTCATGTTAAGTATCTTGGGGTCTAATGAGGCATCTCTAATTCCTGAACTAAACCTATCATTCCCAATCTTGTAGCATACGCTGACTCCAGAGAATTGTCAGTGTTTCTCTTCTCACTAAAATGCATTGCCCCTGATGAATTGCTGTTCCCTAGCAGCTACTGTTGATGCATCCCACAAAGGTAATACAGGCTTAGCAAAGCTTATTAGCCCAACATCCACACTTTCACAGTGATGCTCTTACACTAACATGTGAGACCTGTCGAGATGATTGGGAACCACTGTTCTGGAAAAATACACAAAATCTTTCCAAAGCTTCCCGACGTTTGAAAGAAAAGTGGATTACAGGGCTTTCAATAAAAATGTAGGTGCAAAGAACTGGAAACAAATTTTCAACCAGTTTTCAGTTTGAACTACTAGTACTATCTTCCAGGGTTGCATTTTGTCTTTCACAAACGCATTAGATCTCAGAAACAGGCTGTATGTACATAAGCAATGAAACAGAGGAAAACGAACAGCTGTTCCACTTACACTCAGTAATTAGGCTCCCGTGCTATAATGTCACGGCAGTCTTCAAACTAGTCAACATTTGTTTTGTCTTGTTGATACACTCAGCAGAGTTCAAACTGTTGAAGTCTTCAGGCTACAAAAATAGTTTTTGGAAATATGGTTTAGGTTTATATTAATTTTTACTTGTACAGGCTGGTCAGAAATTGTCTTCATTTATTGAAGTTTTAAACTCAGAGAATGAGTACAGTGTTCTGAAGTGATTGCATTGCAGTGCCTAAAATACAATATATAAATTAAACACTGGATTCTCTGAAGTTATGAACTCTACTTGAAATCCGTAAATTGTTGAGCTTTTTCACTGTTTGGTGTTCTTGGAAAACAAGGTCATATCATTATCAAATATCTGAAAAGAATTTGAAAGACAAATAAGTTTTAAAATCTTCCTCTCAAAGCTTCATGGTAATAGGCAGACATCAATAAGCTTGTGTTATACATCAAAGGCGTATTGATAGAAATTATAGAAAACACTTATTAAATTCTGATATAGTTTGGCCGTTGTTTTCCAGTAAGCGTTATTTACTGTTGTGTCTAATCTAGTAGAGTACAATGGTTATATAAAAATAATGAAAAAATGGATCATTTTGAGAGATTGCAATAGATAGTAAAGAATCGTGCCCTTTAGGCACCTGAAATCTCTGCAATTAAATGTTTTTTTCATTTACACGTGATTAACAGCAAAACCATTTATTTTGTATTCATTCCACTTAATTCTCTCTTTATGCTATGTAAAGATCAAATTCAGAATGCCATTGTTTTCAAAAGTCTCAGGACAAACCCAAACCTGTTGAATGCATAAAAATGTACTTGGTCAAGAATAGAAGAGTTGGACTGTAATGAATGATGATGTTTATCTGAACCTCAGAATGGAATCACAACTTTATTGGCAATCCTTTCTGTAATTTTGTTCTAGACAATATCACCACGCAAAATGACATCCCAAAGTTGGGTTAATCTCTTGTTATTTCAGTCCAACACTGTACAAAGAAGTGATCTGATTGATAAAAAAAAAAAAGTTGTGATCTGGGATTTCTTAGAGTTTTGTTTTGCTTTTTTATACATATTTCTGTTATTTGATATAGAGTAGTTTGGGTTGGTATTAATTCCAACTCCCCTGCCATGAACCTCCCCCTAGACCAGGTTGCTCAGAGCCCCATCCAGCCTGGCCTGGTATATTCATGGAACCTGTGACAGATGCAGAACCTGTGACATACATGAGATGAGTTTTTGAAATTGCAGTGCTCTGCCATTTGTGGCTATATAGGACTTCAGTGGTTGCACAACTCCTTGATTCCAAGACCTGATTTGAACAAGACGCCTGGAAATGTCCCCACCTTTTTTAACTCATTGCTTTTGTGACTTGACCTGATCTGTCGATTCTTCAGCAAAAGCAACGGAGCAGTTAAGTCACACTGTATTTCACAGCATCATAAGCCTTAGATGTTTTTCTGAAAGATGCCTTTTCTGAATGAATTCAGAAAAATCCGTAAATTAGAAGAAATCTTTGCTTCTCACCAGTGGTTTGAATGACAAATGCACTAGTGACAGTTCTGCAGTACTGTGTATAAATTCAAGGAGTACTGGCCCAGAATTATTTTGTTCAAACAGGTCCTAGTGGTGGACGGCTCAACATGGCTTGGATGTATTTTGGATATGTTTCAGGCTTTGGCACTGAAAGAATACATGAATGAAATGTATTTAAGAGTAAGGAAGTCTGTAGACAGAGGTTCTGGGAGATTTCATTCAAGATCATCTGCCCTGGGGAACTGACTGAAAGAGCAGTTTTCTGTCAGAAATGAGTGCATTTATTTTAAATTGAGATTCCTTTTTGCACTAGCTAGATGTGTATTCTTTTGGTTCCTGCTGTGAGTAGTTAACATTTTGCTTACACAGTATTTTCACAAGGCCTGAATCCTCCTGCCTAGCTAAAGGGAGAGGTGAAGAAAATTATTTCACAGTCCCTTACACTTTACCATTAGCCACCCCTAAACATTTAAATATCTAATTCTTGCAACATCTGGAGCCCGTAACTGTTATCATTGCTTTACAGAGGAGGGACCTGAAACATAACAAAGGCAGATGACCTGTTCAGGTTCACACTCTACATCTGTGATGCACTGTCAGAGGTGGGATAATTGCAGAACACCCATACAAATATATAAACATTCTTTATAACCGTGTTGATAAGC